CACTCATCTACTGCCACTGACGCATAATTGGCTTCCATGGAAGGAAGCAAGAAAGGATAAACACCAAGCAATCATATTAACTCCTGTGAATTCCAATTTGAATCTGTTAACTGTTAACAGAAATAACAGAGGCACAGGAGATGTGGGGCAGTTTATACCCCGAAACCCCCTTCCCTGCATGCTGTTCTCCATGTCCTACTACATGTGAAGACATGAGCTTGGATTAGAGTCAATAATCAAACATCTGCACACTGAAGTGAGGGTTTACCTCAAAAGGATGTTTTATGCTAATCCAAATCTGTTCTGGTTTCTTCAAACAGTGTAAAGTTAAGTGGATTTGAAACACAAAAAGTCTGTGTCAATGTTATCACAAATGCAGTCAATAAATCAGTCCAAGAAATGGAGAGGATCAGGACCCCCCCCCTCACATACATCACGTTAGCGTGAAGCTGCAGCCAGGTATTAGCTTTGCATGAGTCCATTATTTAGACTATTACATACAACTTTATGTTAGAGTGAGACTCATTCTAAAAAAAAGTTTATTTTCTCCAAAAACACCCCCTGGATTTGGGGGGTATGACTGGCAGCCTCCCCCAACCAAACAGCTGTGCCCTGTGACTTTTAGGAAAGAGCTCGAAGAAGACAAAAGAGGATCTCTGATTATCTAAATCCAATTATACCGGCGGGAAGAAAGCAAAAGTCACAAAGATACCAACCCGACAATGCACGGGACTGCACATAACATGATTCTAACACCAAAATATACTAGTCTGGGAAAAGAAGACATTGGAAAGAAGACCTCATCATTTGTCATTTTCAAGTGTTATCAAAATGACTTTGTGTGAAGATGGAAGAGTCCAATTAATCCACCACAATACCCGTTGAGCCTTAAAGCCACTAGATGGTGTGCTTGTCTCTGCAAGACATGGGTTTAGTAGAGAAAAATATCTTGCTGGAGGTACATTCATATTTATTAAAAGTATAGCCGGCTGTGTGTGCAGCTCAGAATGTGAAACATACATATACACACAAAATGCAATTTCACTGTGATTTGGGGTTTCAAGTAGAACACTTTAAGATACTACTCTTCAGTTATCGAAAATGCCTATTGCTCGTGTCTCTTAGTCTGCCTTTGATGCAGCTTTGTGACAAGCAAGCATTCTGATTCTTCTATATGCTCCCTTTAACAAAGAGCTTATCACCACTGCAAATACAGTGAAGGAGAAGAAATGATAACCTACCCCCGGAACCTTTATCCAGACATTGATTCATTCACATTTTGAAATCTGGCTGCAGCCAGCTGACAAAATGCTGCTAAAAGCAGGAGCAAATACTAAACAAAGGTGCATATGTTTAGAGCTCCTGTTGAATGTCAGTGGGAAGCTGTGCCAATAAGACCTGCTGGTGTGCTTCACCCGTGCCCTCCCATCTCCATGACAATTGTTTATTCAACAATTAGCATAAAGTCTGACATTTATTCCCCCGTTTGATGAAATTTATCATTCAAATGACATTACACTGTAGTTTCTGACATTAACATATTATTCAATCAAGATTTACCTTGCAGTGTTTTTTGCACTCGGATGCAATGGTGTAGTCTCAAACGAAATATTTTAGTGCTGATTGTGGGTATGTGTCTACAATCACTATTACTACAATATATTTGTGTAATGACAATATTTAAATAAGAGTGTTTTCGCAAGACTAAGAAAACCTTTTTTAAAAGTGAGTATTTTTAGATAAACACCAATAATAATGGCAGAATAATCCCAACCTGCATTTCTTTGATGTTCAGAAAAACACTTTTCATCCATTTGTGAGTATAAAACTTTCTGTTATCGACTCAGTGTGCTGCTTCTCAAGGGCAAGATAAGGCTCTCTTCCCTGTGGTAGAAAGTGTTTTTTTCCCCCATTTGCTTTCTCCTCTGCAGCAGATGGCAAAGAGAAAATCATTTTCTGTTGGAGGCAGGATGCATCAGGGTCAGGATTTAAGCTTTGAGGTCCACTCTGAACCTGGCCGACTTGACAGGAGTATTCTGCATACGCTGAGTCTAATCACACTATATGGGAAAGAAGAAGGGAAGGATTTGTAGAGCAGCTTGATGCAAAGATACTGAAGAGATTAGGGATTTTACAGAACAGCAGGCCCGAGCTCCACACTGCAGCATAGCACGTACAGAAACTTACAAAAAAAAAGAAAAAAAAGATACTCACAGCAACATTTGTAGTGCAATCTTCCACTGAATAAAGGAGGAGATTAAGTATCTGTTAATATTGACATTCTAGGGAACCTCATTCAGATGTGATTTCACAGAGAATTAATATTTGATGGAACACTTTCAGTGAATAAGGTGCATAGAATCTTTTTTACAGCGTCATGCTTTCATTGAATAAATGTTCAGAAAGAATGACACACTGCTGCATGCAAAACATTGCCTCCTATACAGGTTCCTGAAAATAATGAGGTTTTATAAAGTTCACCTTATGTCAACATTGGCAAAACAAGTGCTGCTCGGGAGAAAAAAATGAAAACGTCCCTCCACAATAACAATGTAGCTGAAAAGCAAACACTGTGACACATCGCTCGTTCTATAACGCTCCTTATTTTAAAAGCTTCATGCAGCCAAACTGTGAATCATTACCAGCTTATGCAGATGAACGCTGCTCTATAGATTGTATGTGACCCATTTGCAACCAAAGATACACACTCAATTAAAGCAGCTCATTCAACAAACAATGGTGTTGCATAACGCCTTAAAACAATAAATGAAACATGAGATGTCTACATAACGGCTGTCTTTACAGTGCGCCAAAGCTCACTTTGCAAGAAAATAGACTATTTACTTTGAGACCACTTGAGCCACATTACACACCCACGCAATCACAACACCTACACAGAAGGCCTGCAAAGACTGTCTTTGTAACATATCTCAAATGCACATGTGTGGGTGTATATCTTACATGTTGCAGCCAAGCTGATGACTAGCCTTGGGACAAGATTGTGTGTAAAGCCACAATTCCAAACATGCTGATAGCTTTCAACAGAAATACACCTAAATGTGTGTTTTTCATGCCTAATCCTCTTTCTAACACAGGGGGGATTTTTTAAAAACCAATCTCTGTCTGAAGCGTTCCTCTGGACTCCACATCTTCCTCCATCAGCCCACCTTCTGAGAAGTGAAGCCCATCCAGTGGATCTGAATCTATTGGGGAATCGGCTCTGCGGCTCTAAGTGAATGAGGGAGTGGGAGTCAGTCAAAGCTGGAAGCTCTTACGGGGTGGGAGGAGGAGGTTTTGGGCTACTGGTGAGGAGATGGCTGCTGGGTGGCAAAGCTAATTTACTGTGACAGAAATCAGAGCTGTCAGGACCACCATGACCAAGCAGCATGGGCAGCATATATCCAGTCAAACCCACAGCCAAATGAAAGGAGGGATGTTGTTGGCTCAGAAAGAAAGAGGAGAAATGTGCGGCATAAGGCACTTATAGAGTATGCGTCTCCATGTAAATGTGTGATTGAGGATAGCAGTCGGCAGCATCGACCTAAAAGAAAATCCTTAAAACGGAAAAAATAAAGTATACGGGCGAGAAAAGATTTTCTGATCTAGAAAGGCTATATACTGAAGACAAGATAGGATTTGCTTAAGACATGAACTTTATTGCACAGAGAAAGGAAACCAAGTCTCACGCTAATTTTTCTCTCCCCTGAGATTGTTGGGGAAAGGTCACTGGATGCAAAATTCATGAGGAAAGCTTGTGGGTTGTGCTAATCTGTTAGTAAGCAAAATACTTAAATTTTCATGGAAAAGAATATCGATGGACATTCTATCCATAAATGAAGAAAAAGTGGAAGAAAGGGGCATCGAATGGCATTATGTCTCAGTGATGAACGATGGAGACACAAGGCTGGTCTGTATGTGACACGGGGAAGGAGGAGGGATTGTGGGAGATTAAGAGAGCTCTGTGCCGTTTGTTATACACTGCAAAGCACTGCGGGATGTTTGTCGAGCGACAGTCTTATTTGGGATGAGGAGAAAGTCAGTAGGGGGACCTTAGACTTGGCTGTGGAGAAAGCCAAGAGAAGTGTCTAACTCCTTAGGCGCTGCTGGGGGAGGATCCAAGAAGAAGATAAGGATTAGACTACCATGTTGGAGGGATTCATTAAGGGGATACAAATTTGAACGGTAAAAGATATAAAGACCAGAATGTTGGAGGTTCATGCTTTTGTTAGGCAGTTTACATTGAATTTGTTTTTGTTTTTTTACATGTTCTCGCTTTTCCTTTGTTTGATGTTTTGGTGGGGGAAACCGGATTAACAAAGTTAGCCAAAGCGCTAGCTTGTCCGGTGTGAACTTTTAACCTTTCTGCCTTCACATTTTTGCAGACTTTACAAGTGAGTGGTGAGAAAGTCTCGTCGGACGTTCAACGGCCCGGTGGAGACGCAGAAAAACCAGGATTTTAAGGTGAAGCACTCCCCTCCAGAGCATTTTAACACACAGTCCCAATGTTTTCCAGTCATGTTGCATATAGAAATAGTCATAACTGTTTTGATATTTTTTGTTGTTGTTATTAGTAGCAGTATCAATTTTGTTACCATGGTCATTATTGTTATCTTTAATATTTGAGAGAAGAAACGGTTAGTAAGACAGATGTCAGGTATGTGTTTTCCTTAAACAAAATTATATAAGGATACATACATACAGGAAGTTTCTCATGCTTTAAATGTGAAGAAAGCCAAAGAATGATTGCTAACAAATACAACACTCTGAGGTGATTCTCAGAAAACAATACATTGATATTCCAGACAACTTCCTCTTTTGAAACAGATGTACTGAGAGGATTTACCTTGAAGTCATCTAAAATGTCTGCAGAATATGTCAAAGCTCCAACTGTTCTAAAAGATAGGCTGTCTAATGTTTCTTGACATACCTCATTTGATTCTCATCCAACTAGGGGGAGCCGGAGGGATTAGAGACTGTGAAGGATTTAACTTCCAGAAATCATGACCTGCGGACAATCTAAGGGCTTTTTCCTGCTGATTTTCTGTCTTTTCCACGAGTCTGAGCAAAGCTGCCCGTCGGTGTGCTTATGTATATCCGACACGGTCAGCTGTAGCTCGAGCGGCCTGGTAAGGCTACCGTGGTCTTTGCCCTCCTTCTCGGTCACTCTGGACCTCAGCCACAACTACCTGACATGGCTGGGTCCGAGAAGCTTCAGCTCACTGCCCAGGCTGGAAAACCTCTGGATGGCCCACAATCAGATCAGCACCCTGAGCTACGATGTGTTCAAAAACCTCTCTGGTTTGAGGCACCTCGACCTGTCCTCCAACAAACTGGAGGTGTTGAAGCAGTACTACTTCCAGGGGCTTTGGAGGCTGGAGGAGCTCCGTCTTTTCAACAATAAGATTGCGCAGGTGGAGGCAGGCGCATTGAGCCACATGAGCAGCTTGAAAAAGGTCTACATCAGCTTCAACCAGATCACATACTTCCCTTTCTTCTCCATCCAAGAGCACAGCCATCCGTTCCTCGTCATGTTGGACCTCTCGTCCAACCGCCTGACCCGTCTGCCGTGGGAAGATGTGAAAGCCTTGCCCGGGCTGGTGCAGCGGGGGCTGTATCTCCACAACAACTCGCTGCTCTGCGATTGCACCATGTACAGCCTGTTCTGGCACTGGAATCTAAGGGGTTACAACTCCGTTAAGGACTTCACCAACGAGCACACCTGTAACATCCACGGGGACCCGCGAGCGTCCATCAAGTTCCTACATCACAGCCGCTTCTTTCTCAACTGCACCGTGGAAAAAGCGGTCACGCAGCCTGTGACAGTTCTTCTCTCCAGCATGGTTGTTTTGGAAGGAGACAAGATACGCCTGGACTGCCAAACCACACTGAGTGGTGCAGAGCTCTCATTTACATGGCTCTCTCCGAGCAGGGGTTTTCTCGCCCCAGCTAGCGGGAACGGAACGCTAATTAGCGTGTTTTCTAACGGTACCTTACAGATTGAAGCAACTTCAGTCAATGACTCAGGTCTGTATCAGTGTACAGCCGTGGATTCCAAACGGGGACTGAATGCGACTCGGGAGGTGAACGTGAGTGTTCTGCTGCCCGCAGCAGGGTCATTCAACACCGGCTACACAACACTGCTCGGATGTATAGTGACTTTGATCCTGATCCTGGTGTACGTTTTCCTGACTCCATGTCGCTGCCGCCATTGTAAAGAGCCCGCAGCAGCCTACCACCACAGCAACCTATCCTCTGCGTTCTCCTCCACACGAGACAAACCCAAAATTGAGACTTTCAAGCATGTGGCATTCATGGAGCCCATGATAAGTGAAGAGGGAAAAAATGAATGGGGAACTGAAAGTTGATCCCAACCACTCAACCTTTGTACAGACAATAACACCTTACTCAAGAACAAGCGGTTAGATGGTATTCGAGCATTAATTATAGAAAGGAAATAACAGAAGCTTTTGTTACTCTTGCAGCTACCAGCAGCAGTGAAAATGCATCCAGACAGAAATAAGAAAGCAATCTGCTGTTCCAGCTCTTACCTTTCTGTCTTGTGCCAAGGAGAAGGAATAAAAATTTCAAGAATGGTTTATTACAGTCACTATAGGGCCATTATCTATCTTTAAAATCAGCTAATAAATTTTCTGTGGACATAGCACAAAGAGGAATACTTCTTGGGGGATCAAAATGGTTCTTTTTCTTTTATTCCCACTCAAAAAAAGTAACTGAATGTATCGATGAACTGTAGAAAATAACAGAGATGAGCAAAAAAAAACTGCAGAATAAAGGATGCATCAGTAGCTTAGTCTAGAGACATGTTATATATAGGTCTATAAGGCACTCTATCCTGAAGACTTCCCCATTTCCTTAATAAAGGGTTCGTTTTTAGATTAATACCTACCATGCTGGCTTCTTTTTGTTTTTTTTTAAGCATTTCATTTTTATTCAAAATTTCCCCAGACCTTTATGGTGTGTAGCTCTAGCTTTCAGCAAACAGAAAAAAAGTCTTATCTGTCAAAACAGAGGTGCCCGCAGCATTAATCCATCATACATATACATATCACATAGTATATAAACCTGTTGCAGTAATCTGCCAGGAAAAGCAGTGCATCTCTCTCTGTGTGCTCTCCACTTATCTGGCAAATGGTGAAATACTAAAATCAGAAGTGTCAACACACAAAAAATAAGTAGCAATTTCCAAAGACACCATCTCTTTGATCACACACAGCAGGACACTTTGAACACTGCAGAACGAACACAAGCACTAAATTTGAACTGAAGTGACAAATTCTTCAAGGAGCTCTGACGCAAATTCCCAGAGGGACATTATTTTGTATGGCTATGTGTTTGTTGTTTTTTTCTTTTTGTTTGTTTTCTGTCTTCTTTTTTTTTGTAAGTCATCCTAACATGCTTGAAATGGCACCATGCAATAAAAGAGATGAAAGATGCTCAAAAAAGGAATTCACATGCACACTGAAGCATGGGAATGTGGGATGAGGGGGCAGATACGTCTCACAAAAGACCAAAGGCTGACTCAGGATGAGGGGATGGTTAAAAGCTGATTAGACAAGCCAGAAACTCAAAAGAAACGTATCAATTTCTTTTAGTCCAAGCATCTATAGTCTCTTATCTAATCTTAATGCAAACACTTGCATGGACTAACAACTGTATCACAGCTGAGAGAGATTAGATGTGATGCAAATATCTTAGAAAAGATGACAGCAGCTGTCCAGCTGTCTCTCAAACAGAACTTGGAGGGGAGGGGGGGAATTTGTTTGTTTCTTTACCTGCCAAACTTGTTCTAAACCAGTATGTGTTGATATATTGTGCAACTTTAAGTGAGAGTAACTCCACACACAAAAAGTGCTAATCGAAAATCTATGGGATTAATAGAGGCCTTTTATGTAATTCACTCCAGTTTTGTATATTTTCACAGGGCTAGGCAACGTTGAAATCCCTGGACAAATATTACACAACATGCTGCTATGTCCTGTGTGATGTAACACCATGTATCATCATTCAGCTGAGACATTAACTGTGCAATGATTTGGGGTCAGCTTTAAACAGATTACGCCGAGGATGAAAACCAGGTGCTTTTTTTCAGTGTTTTTAAATCTCTTTAATCCGATTCAGCTCTCTGACACACACACACACAGACACTTAGGTGGGGATTTATTGTTTCTGATATGATTCACATATAAGTAAAACACAGAGTGAGCATCTGATGAAGCGTCCACAGGTGACCCATCTTATGTAAGCTCACAGCTGATTTAGGGAATAAACCAAAGTGTAGGGAGCATATCACACATGAATTGTGAGGTTAGAATTTACTGACATTGAAAAGGGGGAAAAATACACTCAATATTCTTTTTTTTTAACCATGTTTCGGTTCATTTTGAATTTCAAGTGGCCAACGGAGCTAATTACTTTATGGCCAGAGCATTATTATATTTTTTGGTCCTGCTGATGTTCCTAATAATTACCCATAAAACAGGAATTGCACTTCCCATCTCAATACTATGGTACCAGCCTGTATGACTCAGTCTTCACGCTTTCTGCAAACCATCTTCCACCGTCACCCATAGAAATGACCCAGATGTAAATGAAGCACCTCTTGATCCCTGAAAAGATGCCCGTCTCCCAAGAAAAACACTCCATTAGGCTTCAATTAAGGCAGGCACTTCTTATCCCAGATTAATTGTTTTTCCTAGTTCTGCCGGGCTCCCAGGGATTCAAAATCATCTCAGTTGAGAATCTAATTACTGTGAGAGTGGAGTGTAACTGTGAATAGCACAACTTGACTTGTTTTCACAAGTGGAGGCCTGCTTTGACTGTCAGCATAGGCTATTACCGAGCTGTCAAAACAGTCATTTTGCAGAAGTGGAGGCATCCAGCTGTGTCAGATTTGTGCACATCTTTTTTAAATTACATGACACTGTCATATACGGGCTGACAGGAGACCCGGTGTCACCTTAAAACTCATTATTTCATTTAACCGGACACCTAGATTGGAAGATGAGCTTGGAACAAAAGATATTAATTTCAGGGCCGTCCAAACACCAGCCGTGTTCTACTGTGGGCCCATTGCATCCAGTAAATAACCGGGAGAAGGGAAGACTGATATGATGGACAGTAGAGCTACAGGCCAGGTTATGCGCTTTTAAAGCAGCATAAAGCGGCCTCAGACATGGCAAACACAAGTCTGGCCCCATGACAGCTGCAGGGGACATGGTACATCAGCACCATAGGCCCATAGGTCATGTTTCACTGCAAACAAATGAATGTATGCGCGGAGACATTTTGATCAAAGCCAGTCAGCACATTAGGAGCCGTCTCCTGGCTCATTCTCTCTGGGGCTGTTATGCGCTTACAGAGCAGGAGTAAGTGGAATTTAGTTGGGTATTACAGGATTTGACAAGCACAATGACTTCAAGCATTTTAAGTTTCATACTGTGACTCGTCATGGGCTCTTTTTAACAACATCCCTCTGTCTTTGAATTCATCCTCAGTTTTCAATTCTCGTCGCTTCACCCTTTGTTTTATGATTTTGTTCTGGGAGGTTCTCTTTTAAGTACCTGCCACACTTGTCCATTTAAACCCTTTTGATCTTGATTTGAACACGAACCTGCAAGATTTCATGCCTTGAGCTTGTAACTATATCACCAATAAAGATGAAAGGATGACACGAAGGCTACAAAGTGGTTCAGGAAAACAAACAGTATCCAGAAGATTTCTTGTACAAACTAAGGCGAAACTAAATGTAACTAGGATTCCTAAGACAGCTGCCACGCTGAGTTTTAAACAACTTGAAAAATAATTTCTTTCTAGACAGTTTAAAATGTGAAGCTGTCTTCCCGTGATCTAGGTCTTGCACCTCTCTGACTTAATCTCATGCGATGATTCATTTTACAGACCGTACTGTTCACCTTACAACAAAGCCATGAGGAAGTGAGACCAATGTCATGAGGGGGATTGTCTGGGGGCAGTGGGGTGAATGGATGGGGATGAAGCTTGTGATTAACCCCCAGCAGCTTCAGAGGGCAGGAACCCCTTCTCATCCCCTGCTCTGTGCACGGTCAGACAGATGTGATAGTGGCGGCTTATGCACACACACGAAAAAAAAAACATCAATACGTTTCAAAAACTTGTGGTGACAAGGGCATAGCAGAATAAAAATGTAATGCAACTGTAATGTACCCAGTACACTGCCTGCCCGAAAAAAATGTTAAAGAAATCGCACACTACCTATTTCTTTGGAACACCTTTTGCTTTTAGCAAGCATTTACCGTGTCATTGTTTCCATATTCTTCTGTGTAGTCACAAGCTTTATTTCTGTCCAGTGTTGCATACATTTATCAGCTAAATCTATCTTGTATTGAGGATAGGAGCGTCCAACCTGGGCACAAAGCCTTCACCAGCCCAAACATTCCCAGTGAGGTTAATGTCCAAATGGCCCTGAACCCTGAACCCTGGACCACTCCTTCACAGTTTGAGCCTGCTGAATCCTGGCATTGTCATCTTGGAATATGCCAGTGCCGGCAGGGAGGAAAACATCCAATGGTGGGTTGACCTGGTCATTCAGTATATTCAGGTAATCAGCAGGCCTGACCAAATGCAGCACCCCGGATCAAAGCACACCCCCCACGGCATGATGGGTGCATCCCTGCGTCTGCCTCTCTTCTCTGCTTACCCTGATGTGCCCATCACCCCGGAACAAGGTCTGGAATCTCCAGACCGCGTCACCCTCTTCCATGGCTCCAAAATCCAATTTTTATGCTCCCTGGCTAATTTAATCCTGTCCGATTAGTGGTTTTCTTATGCTATACACAGTTCCTTTAATATTGAAATTTTATTACATTCACTATTAAACATATCCCAGATTTCTACTGTTGTTTTTCTTCTATTTGATTTCACCAAAATTTTAAATGAGTGCCAATCAGTCAGGCTTTTTTGTTTTACTGAAAAAATAATAACAGTAATTATCCAAGTGGATTCTTTCCGTTTTTTGGACAGGCAGTGTAATGGTGTGAATAACTAAATAATGTATTAGTTCTGGAAAGCATGGTAGTATATTTTGGTTGATGTATTGATTTGGATGTATCACCACAGTCGATATGTATTGGTTGACTCTCACAAAAATATTAAGATATCTAGCCTTTAAGATACCCTGCTGAGCTGCTATCTTAACATCACCTCAGTAATATCAAGTTAACAAATTAATCACTGAAAAGCCTGATATTATTACCTCATGAATTGGCATGTTTATTGTATACAGAGGGACTGTTTCACATACATCCATTTAAACAGCAGTTTTATAGTTTATCTGTTGAGACACATATCTGAGATGGGTGAGCAGATAACGGGGTGCTTAACAGGCAGCCATTTTGCTTCTCAAATTAGTCTAAAATTCCAATTATCTTGTATGAGAGGAAATATTTGTTAATTATAAACTCACAATAGGATATATTTCTTTATTAAAACTATTCAATAACACCTATCAGAAGCGTTTTAATTGAATTCAAGGGTGCCTTCTGGAATCATTCCGCCCATGTGTGGCTTAGATACATTTGTCAGTCATTTTTGGGCTTCCTTCTTTTTGAGGATAGACATGGTTCATTTAAATCAGCTGGCCTGCATTACTGGAAAGCTCTCTGCTTCAAGTTGTGTAGAGAAGGCTGAGAGGGCTGAGTAAGGTTCAGTGAAAATGCAGTAAAAGAAAAATCATGTTCCATCTGCAGCACATCTGAAAATTGGTATGGGAGTACAAGACCATTAGGGACCTGGCGCCCCCTGGTGTTTGTATCATGGAGGAACTCCATTGAGCGGTTGAATTATTAGATAACACCTCACAGAGAGAGAGCAGGCTTCCCACTGACTGTTTCAATGGGGTCCATTTAGAAATAACTCAGAATGGGTCAGCAAACTGCCGCTTTCCCAACAAACCATTCAGCAAACAAATTTTAAAGCAAAATAACTTAGAAAGAGCTCATTCATACGGCAGTTCCCATCATCATCACACATTCTTTCCACATCATGAAAACGGTTTAAAGGTACGGTCGGATCCTTTAATATATAACATTCAGATTTAATCATGCAAACACTTCCCCCTATCTAGTTTTTGGAGTAATCTCTTTTAATTCACCTATAGAGTGAACTTGGTCCTTTTATGTGAATTATTTATTTTAATGGTTCGCTTGACGTTGTCAAACGCATAACACAAACGATATTTTAAATGTTTTATTTTAATAGAATTTTGGACAACCAAATATGTCAAATAAAAAAAGAAAACTCAACAACAAAGTGAAATTTCATTCACTGGTTGTATTTTTTTTCCCATAAAAAAATATCAGCCATTCCCCTTGTTCACAAACCGTTTCAAAACTGCAACAAACAGAAACACCATGATCAATTCTGAGAAGCTGGAAGGCCATTAACATTTGTTGGCAAATATAAATATAGTGGTTTGAGCAGGGTCTCAAATAGCTCACATGGAAAGAGTGTACAGACAGCTTACACAACAGTAGGACACTTGGCACTGCCCGTATCAGTTTTTATTAATGTAGAAAACCAGGTTCCTTATTTACTGATTTAAATCAATGTATTTATAGGAAATATATACATTCAGACAGCTCTACTAGTCTCTGGGTTATGTCAATTGCATTGCCCTTTTGATCATGTTGATTGTCTATTCAGGGGCATAATTGTGAGAGTATGTGTAGTCCGTGTAGTAATTCTGTGGCCCGCCCCTGCCTGCTGGGTAACCCCAGGAGCAGGGCCCACCCCCCATCCCGTCCCCCAGTTCATGTCCTCGTCCGGCCGGCGGCCATAGTCCTATAGGAGGGACTCCTCTGCCTCTGTAGCCCCCTAAAGAACCAGAACCCAAAGCTCCTCGCATAGGCCCGTGGTCCATCTGTCCGGGGATGCCCCCTATACACCCGTATCCCATACCACCCATTGGATGTGGAGGCAGCTTAGGTCTGAGTACAGAGCCCCCCCTGGTGGGCAATATGGGAATACACACCGATGGCGGGAGGCCGTCAGCGCAGTTAACCTGAGTCCTACCCCCCTGACTGCCAGGGGTGCTGCCTAAATGCATCTCCCCAGCTTTGGAGAGAGCGCCGGGGTCCACAGGTGCTGGTGTGCCCACACCTTGACTGCTGGCAGTCTCACAAGTGCTGGTCGCCGCTACCCGCCATACACCGTCCCCAGGTCTACTGAGTGTCCTGTCTTGCTGTGTGGGGGGTGCAATGACATTTTTAGGAATAGCAGCCATGAAGCCGGGCTGGGCCGTGTCGCTGAGTGGGGCTGCTGTGCGGGGGGGTGTCCCGGCTGCCCCGCCTCCTCCGCTGTCCGAGCCGTAAGTCCGACCCAGCATCATGAGGTGAGGTGGTGGGGGGGGTTTAACCTCCATGGGGAGGGAAGCCAAGTTGGCGAGAGGTCCTGCTGTGGCCAGCACCGGCGGGGGCGGAACTGCGGAGGAGGTTGTGGCGGGGGGGCGGTACTCCTGGTCCTGGGTGCTGCTGCAGGGTGAGGCGGGGTACGCGGGGGAGGCGGCGTAGCTCGAAGAGCCCGTGTAGGAAGACCACGGCGCCGAGGGGCACAGGAAACTCTGGTGGGGATTTACAGGAAAGCCTCCGGGAGACAAGCTGTCTATGTCTGACGAGCCCATGCCCATCTGGTTTGAAGCCTTGAACTGGGAGATGGCCGTTTTGAGCGCATTGCAGTCAGACAGCTTCGGGGTACACTCGGGGGTTGTGTGGCGTTCTGGGAGCGGAGGACGGAAGTCTCCCATCTCCAGTGGGGGCGGCAGCGGAGGCTTTTCCTTTTCAGCTTCTCGGATCTGCTGTGAGGGATCCGACGCGGCCGGCTGCTCGCCGTCATCCGAGTCTAATGACATGTCCTCCTCTTCCACACACTCATCATTCACTACTAGGACAGCAGAGTGCAGAGAGGGAAAAAGAGAGGCAGAAACAAGGATTTTATCAATAAATGAACAGAGCGATATCCAGAGGTTTTCTTATGGCTTGTATAATGCTCCTGCTGATTCTACCCACCGGTCGATGGCGGCGTTGGCAGCTCATTCTGATTTATGGATCCAATCAGACTGTGAAAACCGCTCATAACGTCATCAATGCTGGCTATCACTATTCCATTTCTGGAGTACTGCAGGAACATTTCAAATGGCCTTTCTGTTTGAAGAGAGAAATAAAAAGAAACAGCACTGTTAATGAGAGAGGACTAAATACGTCTGTAATCACTGTATTGTTATAGGTGTGGATGTTTGCTATGGATTTGTAGGCTATCAAGAAAAGATGCAATGAGAACAATAACATGATCAGGTGCCAACCAGCCCGTGCTGATGGAGAGGTAAACTACCTGTGAGGAAGATGAGGTGCCGCTGTTGTGTGTGCTGAGCTTGCAGTTTGATCAGGCATTCCAGGTCTGGAGCCTGACGCGACTGTGTGTCACACTCGTGATATGGAAGGAACTCTACTAGATGTTTCTTCTGATAGGTGGCCAGAAGGTTTAACAGTCCCATGGCATTAGTATTTAACCTTCAAGAGAGCACAAACGGGGACCATGCGACGTTAAGACATTTCTTCAAACAAAGAATATTCTGCTACTATTTGATAGGATGTGCTTAGATACTGACCTCCCAAGCTCTTTGAGCTTCTTTTGGGACTTGCAGTGCACCTTCCACTGCCACGGGTGTTCAGGGGTGCTCTGCTCCTCTAAGAACTTCAGCAGCCCCTGCAAACGTTCTGAGGAATGGAGATAAAGTCAGAGGTGAAAAAGTTGACTCACATATAACTCCACACGAAGGCTTCAAAGGGCACAAGTTCATCTGAGAAATTTTTTTTTATACACCATCTTAAAACCTTGTATTCATGTATTATGTAATATATAAGGTTAAGCAGGAGGGACAGCAGTTTAAAATGCAAAAAGCAAAGGCATGTAACAAACTACACTTGCATGCTGCAGACTCAGCCCAACAGTGAGCCAAATGGCCCCTTACACATGCAGTAGGTAGACTCAACACAAATAATGCATTTAGCACATCTGTGTGGGTAAACCTTTCAGAGATATGACAACAGAAACGTGTGTGCTGCATAGGAATTCATCTGAGGCTAGAAGCACTTCAACCTCTCTCACATCTGACACATTGCAGCTATTGCACTAATGCAGCTCTTCTACTATTTTATTTGTAGGGTCCAGTACAGTTAAATGTCTTAATGGTGTAGTGCTTGTTTCACAGATACGTTTTGAATAAAAATGCACAGTTATGTTCTGTTATGTTTTGACAGAAACACTTGCCAGTGACTCAGTTTCTAAACACTGACTGATGTAGCCGTTGAACCATGGCGATGCCATGCTGGTTTGCTTAGTGAGGCTAACATTAGCAGAACCTGCAACCTTCACTCCTCTCTTCCGGCACACTTTCATCTATCATAGCCTACTGTCGTGATCTAAATCCAGATACTGGTAAATGCCACCGCTCGTTTTAGATGTCATCTGCCTCACATTCCCGCTTTACAAGGCGGGGTATGAATGCGGTACCCTGCACGGGAAAAGGAAAACGTACCCTGAGTGATGAGATCAGGGTTGAGTACGAACTCATCCGACACCATGAAGCCTCCGGACACAAACAGCTCGTTGTAGGTGTGGTTCTTGACGTCGTCCAGAGTGTCCACACCGGCAAAGCTGACCGAGGGCAACTTCTTCAGAAACACCAGAGCCGGGATCTGCACAGTGACAGGAGGACATTTCTGTTGCTTACAAAAGAATAAGCATGCCTCTGTAAAGCTTTAGGCAGAGCACAAGTGTACCTTAAATATTGTTCTATGTGCAAAGATTTTAAAAATTAAGTTTTAAACAGAAGCCCTGGGAGGGCACCTAATTGATTTCATAGTCGTTCAGAAGGATAACAACATTTAAAATAAAAATAAAACCCTCCCACTGCCATTTTCCTCAGCCTTCATAAAGCCACATGAACATTAGTGGGAAGGTGGACAGTGTGTGAATGACTGGATGGCATCACTTTAACAGACTGGTGAAGCCATTAATGTTAATGATATCACATTTGAGAAGAGCATTCTTTAGCAGTAAGAGGATCATGACTCTTATGGGCCCCAGAGAGATGTGATCTAAACATTATTGATTCAGGCAACAATTACACCCAGCCGCAGAGGAAACCGAGAGCTTAAATCAAAGCAAAAGCCCTTAAAGATGCTTGAACAACAGACCTGCCAAGAATCTTGAAAAATGGTAGGCGAGTGTGCTTCATGCTACTGGTGCTGTGATGAAGGATGCTCACAATATATATATATATATATGGATTTCTCTGCCTTTTCACTACTTATTCAGTCAACTGATAAAGGTTTTCACCTTAAATTTGTCCCTAAATGAACCCGAAAGAAGCACTGGTGTACAATGTGTTCACTGTTTAACTGAGCTGTGGACTGGAGCTAAGAGACAGACGGAGAGGGGGGGGGGTCTGTACCTTGTGCACATGTGCAGCAATGTCCTCGTTCTTGATGATGATGAGGAGCTTATCCAAACTGTTGCTGTTTTCTAAAAATGTCTGCGGACTGCACTCACTGTTGCCAAGACTTTTCAAGTACTCCTATGAAACAGAGAGGGAAGACATCATTGTTAGAGATGGGGAGACGGTGGTGTCCCCCTCTCTTACAGATACAAGCACTAAATGAAGGATGTAGAAAAAAGCTAAGCACTGAGCCGGGAACCCACAGGGACAAAGAGCAGCCACTACTGATGAGCACATGTCCTCCTTTAAACTTCAATTAGAATGAAAATACAGGAAAACAGGAAGAAATTAACACAAGACTATGTAGAGAAGGCAGAAACCACATCATTAGGACCGTTAGTGTTTATATTAAATTAAAGTAAAATGCAATTCCAACTTATAAAAAGAGAAATTAACTACTTCCACGAGCTCATGGTGATGTCTTCAACTTGCTTGTTTTAACCACCAGTAAAAGCAAATCTTTACAGCGAAGAAGTCTATAATCCAATGACTGAAATAACAACTTGATGTGGCTTTTAGTGGATCACCTATTCCATCTTTTTTTTAAAAATGATTTGCAGGTTTTAACTTTTAACTAGTTAACCCAAGCACTTTGAGGGTATAACCATAGTGAGCTTTTAGAGAAAGAGAGAGAGAGTGAGAGATATGCAATTCAACTTAAAAAAATATAAAGCATAGTGAAACAGAGAATGAAGTATCTGTTCTCAGGCCACACTGGAACCTGGTGTTGTACCTTGATCTCCTTGCAGACAGTGCTCTCCTCCCCCTCATCCCCAGAGTGGATGTAAAACTTGACTGTGTTCTTGGTGACATCCTTGAAAATCTCCACCAAGCTGCTGAAAACCTCAGGTTTCAGCTGACCTATGAGGCTGCCTGCCAGCAGGTTAGACCCACTGCCAGGAACAGAGCCGGGGTTTTGAGAGTTTAGCTCTGGAGAGTCTGGTGTCACTTGAGAGGGAGAATAAACGTCTCCGACTAACTCCGCCAATAAAGCTTCCGTTTTAACTTTAGAGGACGGTCCTTCTTTGTTGTTGACCGTTTTACCACTTAGGGAAGAAGTGCTGCTCTTTGAAAGCGAAGGCTCTTCTTTAATTCTGAGAGTCTGGACGGGTGCTGGGGGTGGGGTTGTAAGATTAGATGTCCTAACTGGGGGTGGTGGAGAGGTGACTCCGGAGGGAGCAGGTGGAGACGGGATCAGCTTGTCCATCTTCTCACACAGTGCTTCGACGTGTCCCTGGATCGAGACGGGGGAGACGTAGGGTACAACAAAGTCTGAAAAGCTGCTGCTGGGCTTCCAGCAGTTGCGTAAGGGTAACCGTGGGGGTAGCTGCGACGTATAGCACATGCGCCGGGTCTGCATGATGTTCTTGATGTCAGAGGTGAGGCTGTGGATTTCCTGGTTAATTATGGTATCGAGGCTGATGGAGGGCCTGAAGGGAACCTCTTCGACAACCGTTAAAGCGGGTGCAATCCCCTTTTTTGCTTCCAGGGTTGCAGGCGCCCTCGGCTCTGGGTGGCTCTCTGTGGCTGCAGCGGCCTCCCACTCAGGCTTCAGCTCCGGCTGTGGCTCAGAGAATAGCTGTGCTCTGTCTGGAGGAAAGCAGATGGAAGATCTGTCACAGTGATGCCTTTCTGACCCCACCCAAAATAGGCCTGCTTGAACTAAACACTGAGGTACCTTGGGTGGTAGGGTTATGCCCGGGTGGGAAGCTAGAGGGGCGTGCTTGCTCTAGTGGAGAGCCCATGCTGAACGGGCTCCCGGGGCTGCAGTCCATATCCTCCTGAGCAGAAAACACAAGCAGATATCCTTTAGCTCTGCAACCACACTTTCAGGTTAAAACATCCACAGAACCCTTCTCCAGCGGTTTACGCCTCACCTCTGTGTAGTTTGTTTGTGAAGTGGCCTCGGTTGGTATTCCCAGAATTGGCTTGGGGGGATCGGGCTCCACTCTCACTGCACCCGTCGAGGGTTCGCCATGGTTTGCTGGTACAGACATGGCGCCCTGAGCCACGGCCTTGTTGAGCGTGGCCAGGAGGATTTTGAGGAGTCGCTGGGTCTCGTTGACTGCGGCGGCGTTGGCGTTGGCGTTGGTGCGGGCCCTCAGGTCGGTGTCATAGATGCCCATGCTCTCCATCACTGCCGTCAGACTGTCGTTCTGTCCAGCCTCATCCCCAATCTCATCTGCCTGGGCCACTGACAGGACACACACGGTTAAAGCAGTTTGCCCAATAAAGGTTCCTTTTAATTTATCATAATGTTCAAAGGTTTACTAATTATTAAAAAAGAAGACAAAAAGAAGCTATCTGAAATCCCACAGATTTCTCCAGATCCAGAAGGATTAGCTCAACATCTCTGGAAGTAGCCGTTGCTCTGCTGAACAGCAACAAAAAGTATTTTGAAATTAATGCAAATTATTCAGTGACTGCCAGCCAACAGACAATGAGGGGCTGTGAGGCAAATTAAATATTCCTCCTTTTGGTGAAATTAACTCTGAGGGGAATAAGGACAATTGGTGGCAAAAAGACATTCAATTAAACCCTTTCAATATGAGGCAAAGTACTTTAATAATTTCCCTCTGGGATTATTAAAGTATTTCTGATTCTGATTCTGATTCTGATTTTAATGAAAGTGCTTCTGGACTCACCTCTGCTGGGCTCCCCGTTGCTGAAATATTCTGTGCGCTGGTGTTTGTGTACGCTGCCCCGGTCTTCCCCTTCAAACTTCCTCTTTAGGCTGTTTGCGTCCCAGGCTCCATCCTCCCCCTGATCCCTGCCCGGGCCCTTCACCAGGGCTTTCTTATGGAGCTGGATCAGCTTTAGCAGCTGCTTCATCTTGTCTTTGTCATACTCGTTTTGGGACAGCCGCACCTTCTGGGGCTGAGGGGGGGGCTCCACCTGCGCGCCGTTTGAATGTGCCAGCCCAAGCCTCTGCTTGCTGTCAGTGGGTAGTTTCTCCTGGGCCGTCCTCTCCTGGGACAGCCTTTCTGGGAGTCTATCGGCCCTGTCCGAGCCCCTGTCTGAGCCACCCCAGTCAGAAACGGGGCTGTATTCCACTGGGGCCGGAGCAGGAGTGGGTGCAGGGACGGGGTTCCGTATCCGTTCAATGATGTCCTTGGTTTTGCTCAGAGGTAATACGTAGTTAGCAGGGTTGTGGATGTAGGATCGCAGTACTGCATCCATGTTGAATTTAGGTCTTGGCACAGGGAGGGGGTTCGTCCTTTCATCCACGTTATGTTTATAATCGGGCAGAATGAACGGCCGCACCGTTCCCGATTCCATACGAGTTAGGTATTCAGTGGCCTGGCGCTCCATCCCAGAGCTCAGGTCCTTGCCTGGGTTTGGACGCAGCTTGAACAGAGCGTAGTGAAGTGCAGGGATGAAAGACTCCATGGAAGACAGCATGGCTGGCTGTGGATCCACCGTCAGCGGCTCAGGCTCAAACAGTCTGGATGCTGAGATGAAGGGCATATGTTAGTGTCACACGGTGCCAATCTGCATCTTTCCAGACAGCATGGATAAAACACTAAAGCCTCTACGTTTCATTCTGTAAACAGGAGTAGCTCTCAGAAAATAAATTAGAAATATGAAGTGTCATCTAACAAAACGGTTCAGTTTCAAGTTTCAACACAGATGCTTTGGCATGAGGACACAGAGAATATAACTTACGATACTTGACAACCGTCCTCGACTCCTGAAAGATGAATAATGCTTGTAGCCTCTTCTCAACCCGCCCCCGCCGCTCTGACAAAACAAACAAACGGCAGTTTTTTTAAAAACTGGACCGTCACCGGAGGCAACAAGTAGGTGGTTCAAGTGACACACCAGCAAATTATGAGAGAGGGGTGTCAAAGGAAAAGCTTTCTGGCACCTTTCGACTCAACCATCTGAGCTGAGGACAACAGGAAGAGAAAGCCCCTGTCAAACAGGGACTTCACCAGCACCTGGACGAGGAGAACAGACGCTGCAGTCAGAAACACCGAGAGCTGTTCTCATGCCACAAAGTGAGAGCAACACAAGCCTGATGCTGGGCACATGTCCATTTATTCACCTGCACAGTACAAGCACATCTAATGTACATCATGCAGTTTTGGGAAATATGAAGAAGTAGCAGGAAAAGAACTGGAAAAAGATACGAAGTGTTCATGGAACATAAGCCTGGCTCGTTTACCATGTTTTGCTGAAATAATTGTGGAGCCTGTGAATCACAGGTATGTGACTCACCATCCGGTCCCGCTCCAGCCTGCCCACCAGCGCCACCAGGCTACCACTGGTCGCCTTGCCTTTTCCATCCACCACTTCAAACAGGCTGCAGGACATCCCAAATTTCGTCACTGTTGGCAAAAAAAAAGAAGACAAAACTAATTTATGTAGTAATTCTTATTGTATCCTGTTCTGAACAACACGTCAGGGTTTTGGACTATCCTAACAAAGTGACTTTCAAGTAAGGCAGACCTGCCAACATTTGCAAGGTTTAAACGTCATTAGGAGATGCACGGATATGTGGTTCAAACCGACCTTCTCGTGACATGCTGTAGGTGTCCCAGGAAAAGAGTACAGGTGGAATCTTTCTCTTCACCTGATCCAGCTGCATGCCCCAATTCATCTCCAACTTCTCAGGCCTGCAGAGGAGATTCAGCAGACAGCATTTTAAAACAAGTTCCACTTTACTGCTCCAGCAAATGGACAGAGGAAATTCAGGCTGTGGCGGGTTGCAGGCTTACTCACAGTTTGAATGGAAGGTAGGGACGCGATAAGGATCGTAAACAGATGGGGAACAACTCCTGGTCCTTGTTCACGAGCGGACCACTCCACACAGTGTAGCAGCTCTTCACTGAAAAAGCATCAGTGACACAGTACAAAAAATATGTCAAACAAGGAGAAAGAGCTATCTTCTTTGTATCTGTGGCTAAATCTATTTATGAGGTGACGTGCCAATGGCAAACTGAGTAAATTGTAACTCAGAGGTAGACCTGTGGGCTGTTAGGTTAACCGAATAGGTTAACATGATAAAATTTGCAGGAAAAACAGAAGAAGAAGGTTTACCTCTGCCTCCTTCAGGGGATATAGTGTTAAACCTGTGCAATAAAAACAAAACTGTCAGTTCATTCACACAACACATACCCCACACACGACTTGCTGACTTCTAAGAAATGTGATGAGTGCCACCATTTCCAGCAGGATAGCATACCTGTGTGCAGCCATGGGCGCTGCTGCAGCCTCCTTGCCTTTATATTGGAAGGAAACCACAGCGTAGGGGCACACGTGCCTGGGCCGCGCTTTGATCTCATCAAACGCAAACTCGAAAAAATATTGCTGCCAAGACACAGAGAGGCTTCAGAGAAAGGAAACTAATGGAATACAAGAACAAAAAAACAAAAAAAGGGTGTGGAGAGAGGGTTACCTGTGTGAGCTCAAACGCTCTGTAAGACAGCAATGATGTGACCCTGTTGGCACTTTTGGACAAGTGACAGTCACACTTGGGTGAAGGCTCAATAGTGTTTTTTGGCATGTTCTCATGGATGTGCTTTATCCGCCCCTGTGAGGAAGAGAACATTGATTAGTATGAAGCGGGACAGGTGTCAAGGACGTGGAAAAAGAAAAAAATCATATAATATGGTCGTACCCGCATGACTTTAAAAATGATCATGTCTCCAAATGAGCCCACTTCAAAGGGATTGATTTGTAATAAATCCGAATATTTGGAGAGATAAACGCCTGTAATGAAAAGGAACAAATATTATCAACGCATAAGCTTGCAACTAATACATTCTTGCAGTTACTATCCCCCCCATAAAATAAATCAATAAAACCAGACAAGAGCAGGTATATCCAGGTGCCTCATAGCAGCAATGCAAACAGTCCAATAGCTTTAACACAGCCTCCTTTAAACAGCACCACCATGAAAGACACCAGCTTACCCATAGAAGGACTTCCTAATGTAGTAACCCTACAGTGTCCTACAGACAGACCCTTCTCACAGATCCACTGGAGCTGGACAAGGGGGGAAAAAAAGATCAGATTTCCATTTATGTTTATATATCTCACATTCATGTGGAAGTGAGGCTTTGAAAGCCGGCTAACCTTGGATTTGTCTGGGAAAAGGAAGCAATAAGATTCTGTCAGCTCTTGCTCCGTCCGTCCCTCCTGTTTCATCTCTCTCCGCTTCTCGATGAACTGGCACACACAGGCAGCAGAAAGCAAATGAGAAACAGAAGTCTGAACCTAAAGCAACCCCAGAATATGCAGCCTGCAGGAGCTGAACAAATCTTGGCTGAGGAAACAGTGGCTGACACTTTGTGCCAAAGAACAGCGACTCACCTCTTTCTCTAGCAGCTCGTTGTGAATGAGCCTGGCCTTGCAGTAGGAAAAGGTTCCTCGCGACGATGTGTCCAAGTAAAACGAGGAGATAATCTTCACAAGGTCGTCAAACTCCCGACTGTCAGGGGGCAGAAACTGGTACAGACCTGCACACACAAAGCGAACCAGTGGGTTAGGAAGTGGCTTAGGAATCCACGCTACGCTGACCGACAGACGAGGGTCAGAGCAGAGAGCGCCGTCTGACAACATCACACGTTCAGTCTTTAGTTCAATAAGTAAACCACACGGTATAAAAAAGACACACATTATACAGGACAAAGTGACATGAACTGGAGACAGTTCGACAGTATTATGATTGTTTCTGTCTATACTTCCAGTCCTACTTCCCCTAAAAGTGTTAGTTAGGAGGACAATTCCGTTGCACCAGCAACCTGCTGCACATTACTAACTTTATTTACATATTATGTTAATTCAAACACATGCAAAGAAGTGCAACCACCAGCAGCTGCTGCCTACGGGCAACCTGAACTGAGCCTCAGCTGCAGGTTGGCGGGGGGCATTCTCTCACTCCAGAGAGGCTAAGGGGTGAAGGAGGACCAACAGAGCATCGCAATGCCAAATCAGCCTCACACTGACTAAAGGACGGTTACACACTGATCGACTATAGGAGACTTGAGATTGTAAAAATCAAGCTGCCTCGTCTGAGCTCTTATAGAGTAAATGAAAGAGTTTGCAGCAAACACTGCACATCACATTTCTGGAAGAGGGACAGATGTGGGGAAGCTGCAGAGTGTGATCTCTGATCTGAGAGCTGAGGACCGGTGTGCGGTCTCGGGGATGCTCTGAAATAGAAGGGACAAAAAGTTGGGGAGAGGGGTGGGCAGCCGGGCTGTGAAAACAGTTTGAATGGACGGGTGGGGTGGATTAAACCATGCCCTTCACTGAGGTCAGAGAGACACCCACATGTTGTCAGGTGATATGCTGCAACACGCTCATGACCCCTGCTGCAGCAGTCAGTCACGGGAGCAGATGGAGGAGCCAAAGCATTGGTGCCTGGCTGATGGACAGTCCTCAAAAGTGCCGCTTTCGGGCGCCTTCTGCACCGGTGCTGGCCGCTGGTAAGCCGGTAACCCGAGCCTACCCACCGGAGCTAGCCCTCTGCCTGCGGAGGACGCTACAAGAGTATCCGTGTGCTCACACAGCATGGCCGTAATTTGTTCAGAACCGGGATGTCGGAGAACATTTCTTGATAAACTCATTAACCCAGCAGAAACAACCGGCTAGCTAACCGGGCTAGCAACATGCAGCAGAATTATGAAAGACAGGACAGTCTCTGTTCAGAATAGCAGCGATATGGCACCACCTTTCCGTTCTCTCGTCTTCCTCGGGATTTGGAAATTTCTCCGTGGCAGCTCTTCACCCGATCTCTGGGCTGGAGAAGGAGAGCTGCTGCTGCTCCGGGCGTCCGCCTGAGCGTTCCTCCGCCGTTCAGGGGCTTCTTGTTCGGGCATTACACTGTCTCCACATCCAGGCTGATCGCCATTTTGGTTGGCTGTGGCCGAGGTGGCGGCTGAATTCTTCTGGGGTTCGCCACCCTGCGGGTGAGAATGCCCCGTCTCGGTGCATTTTGAGTCCGTCTTTCCCACCGCGTAGGGGTTCAGGGCCATTTTCGGGCACCGTCCAAGTATTAAGGGCAATGTAGCTCTAATTATTACGACGCCGCTTCACACACACATTCTCCTCCTCACCCAGCCTCCGCCATTGTGAAAATGACGTACACGTTCTTCTCGACCACTGCAAAACGCTACCGTCACTGTTTACATACGAGAAAATCCGCGCCCCCTAGCGGCGGATGGAGGTAATGCCAGAACTGAAGTTGTGATGGACGTGTGAGTGAACAAGGAGGGAACAGTGTTGTGAAAGGGAAACTATTTCTCACACTTTACTATAACTATATTAGGGATAAGAAATGGGTTACATTCCAATGTAAAAAATATTGTCATGACACCGAATGCTCTACTTCAAATACAAACAATTCAAATATCTTAATGCATCGGTTTGAATTTCTAACACAACCGATTAAGGCATATTTCACCACATGTATGCCCGAAACACTGATGTGGTAAGGGATAATATGAATCATTAAACCGTCACGATGGATGGAAACTTCCCCTGTTATACTTTTGTAATCTCCCATTCCTTCATTCTACCACACGGTGGCGGCAAACAGAGACTGTCTCATCTATGTTGGTCATTCTCTGCTTTCTTCTAAAATAGTTTCATTAAAAATCCCCGTGAAAAAATAAGTCCTCATAATAAAGAGTAGGGCATACCATGAAGTATTTGCATTACAAACAATGGTTTCTTTGTGATATAGTATCTCCTCTTTCAGGGAATCTTTGCCATCATGGCAGCATAAACACATTTCAACAAATGTTCACATAAAAAGTTGCAAGAGGTAGGGAAAACAAGGCCAAACCAACTAAATCCAGTTCATTAAACACCTTTAAACATATGTAAAGAGAGTATAAGCTGATAATGGGTCTATTGTATAAAAGGTCAGATGTTGCAAGTATACAGTTTTTCTAAAAATAACACGGCAAGACATAAAGTACTTAAAAATACTGTTTTCAAAATATCCAATAAATCGTAAAGCTAATGGGAACTAATGGCACATATTTTTGCTTACACAACAACTGTATCTGGGACTTCTTTTAACATGTTTTCACTCGAGGTTAACCCCGCTGCCCCTGCTGTAAACATCAAATTCCCTAAAGCGCAAGTAATCTTTCAGCCTGGGAGGAAGAGGAAGGAAGTTGATAAAAACTGGGGCTCTCAGGCGTAGCAGACTGAGATGCTCTCTTATCCGCAACCGACACAGGTGCTTCAGGCTCCGTGCGTTTCCTGTAAGTCAGACAAGTCAGTGAGTGCAAATGAAGTATATGACTACTCTCACTAATTCCATGAACACGAATGAGATATTGTCACAGCTCAAACCTTGAATGTGGCAGATTTCCGTCCACTTAGTCTGCTCCTGTAAGGTGTCCTTAAGTTTGGGGCAGAAGGAGACATGGTCAGTGTAGTCCAGCATGATGCGCACCACCTGAGCAGATAGGTGCGTCAGCCATGACACTGTTATCACTTCACAAAACTAAGGATGGAAAAAGAGAGACACAGAGGAGTCAGGAGTACACTTTGAAGACAGCTCCTAACTTTAAAACTCTTTCTTTTTTCCTTTCAGACAAGCTTGCCGTACCACCATGTCTTTGATGACTGAGGTCGTCCAAGGAGCGTAGTCATGGGAATTGTCCCCATATGGGCAGTCAAAACAGCGTTTAACATCATAGCCGTGGTTCAGAATCATTCTGAGCATAACCTCGTCCTTCAAGGCGTACTGTAGTGCTGAGGGGAAGTGAGTGGTGTTGACGCGGGAGTAATAGTTGACATTTGCCCCATGTTTCAGCAGGGTGTTGATAAGTTCATAGTTGCCCTGTCTGAGAGCCATTTGCAGGCAGTTTATAGGATCCTGGTTGACCATCGCCCCGGCCTCCAACAGCAGGCGCGCAGACTGGAGGTCGTTGTTGGAGACGGCAAAAAAGAGGGCAGACCTGCGCTCATCGTCGTAACCCTTGCGCACCTTTGGGTGCAGCATGAAGTTTGGGTCGTAGCCGGCCTTGAGCAGAGTCTCCACACAATGGGCGTGTCCCCCGGCTGCTGCTGAGTGGAGAGGACTCATCCCGCTTTCCTTCACCGCATTCAGCTTCGTCACTGGGATCAAGACCTCCAGCGCCCTGTCAGAGGAGACTTAATGTGAGGAGACGGTATCAGTTAAAACTCAATTTAAAAATGTTGAAACTCAACTGTGATGCTCCTCACAGTCTGTGTCCGTGATATGCCACGCGGTGAATTGGCAGGTGCCCGCTGTAAAGAGGAAGGTTGGGATCTGCTCCATGGTCCAGCAGCAAGGAGATTATGTCAGGGTTTCCTGATGCTGCTGCATCAAACAAAACGCTTCCTGAGTCTGACTCCGACCACACATGGGCTCCTACACAACAACATAAGCACTTTTAAAGCAAAATTTGAACAGTTTATTTCCTCTGTGTGCTGCATTTTCTTCCTGTTTCTGCTGAAAAACTGCATAATTGGACTATTTAATGTATGGGCTGAGGGTATCTCTGGAAAAAAGATAAGAGAAATAAAGTAAAAGAAAATATTTTGGACATAGACATAAAAACACATTTGTCTTGTGTGTTACAATACGTGCGGTGCACAAAGAAACACTCAAGATAAGTCAACTTTCTAACCTTTTTGTAATAAAATGTCCACCACATTCAGATGTCCATTCTGTGCAGCCAGAGACAGTGGAGTTTTGTTTTTAATGTCAAGTGCATTTGGGTTGGCACCTGACTCCAACAGCAGGTACACAAAGTTCTCCAAACCTAAAAAGGCAGACTCATGCAAAGCCGTCCGGTTCAGAGGTCCTGGTTGGTCAACATTGGCATTGCAACGAAGCAAAAGTGTGGCCAAGTCATACTGGTCATTCAGAATTGCTTTGAAATGAGAAGCAGGAGAGAAGAGGGAAAAGTTAAATGAGCACTAAATTAGTATAAATTATTAAAAAAAGATAAAAAAAAAAATAAAAAAATCTCAAACGTATAGAATTTTAGATTGAGTGGATTTAGATACCTGCCACTAGTGGACAATCCTCCTCATCGTTCTGAACATCTGGGCTAGAACCATTCTGCAACAGGAATGTAGCATTCTCTCTGAGCCCATGGACCACCGCAAGAAACAGAGGCGTCTCACCCTTTAAAGTGCGACACTGAGCTGCTCCTGGAGGTGATGCTGTAACCCATACACCCAAGCATGAATAAACTGTCAAGAATGAAACATGGTAAATCTTAACAGTTGCACAGTATTGCCAATCCTACCTGAGAAGACTATTTCCATTATTCTTTTTTTCTCCTGAACTGCAGCTTCATGCAGGGGGATCCATCCTCGTTCATCAACTCTGGACAGAGTCTCAGGTTGCATCGTTAGTCTGTTCAGCGCACCCTCATCACCTCCATATGAAAACAGGGTATTATTACAGAACATATGATAATTTTCATATGGTCTGCGTGAGTGTGGAAAAGTTAGAGAGGACAGCCTACCTTCCTTGATAGCTTTGAAAATCTCATCAGGGTCTTCACTCGGTTTCAGATCTCTAGATGGTAAGCAATTGTACAGAATACAATCAGCAAGACAAACACAAAGGTCAGAACGATAGGTTTTGACCAAACTTTATGGGTGTAACCTTGGATTCAGTCCTTTAAGTTTTCTATATTGAATCAGACTTTGTTCAATTATATACTGCGTTGCTTCATCTTCATCCAAGTCATCCTCCGACTGATAAAACTCATCTTCTGTATGTGTGTCCATGTGTTAGTCCAAGAAAAGTCCTTTCAGAGGAAGTTGCTATGGGGAACAAGTTCAAAAGACAAACACGATAATTAAATCTGTGACCTCAGCACTTCAAACAAAAATTGTTTTTCTGGAAAAGGGACAGTGCATATTTCTTTGGAACCAAATTGCCCACAAGACACCAATTAAAACTGTTCCTGTCAACCCTGTTATGTGCTATATTTTTGCCTCCAACTTTTTAACTTTGCAAGCGTATAATCTGCATGCTCAATTGAGAATTAACAGCATTTATCTTTCAGCATGAACAGACATAAAGCATTAAAAATACACAAATGACTGCTTTAGGCATTTCTTTATGCATTAATCTTAAAATAGTGTGAAAGAGTCAAGAGAACAGACACAGCCACCAAGAGGACATTTTATGTCAAACAGCCCAGCAGGGAGTCTTAAAATCAGTAAGTACTCAAGAACAGCTTTGGCCTTCGACACTAATCAGTTAAACTCTATCCCTGTTTATACATTTATCTTTTGCAAAGTATTTACCTTGAGTAAAATGGCTGTAGTTCCTTGGTAATTCCCAAACCAGTAGAGCCAGTGTGCTCCTCAGCACAAACACACATGTGGCTGGTATTTATAGTTCCTCTACTATAAATATCAGATCACGGGGTCTCACAACTAGCACCTAGCTTTGACCCACTAAGCACTGCAACCACTACCAGCAAGTTCACACACACACATAGAATATGTGACTAATGACACTGTGCACATCATTAGAACATGTTTTACTATATGACTGTGAGATTACTAACACTTGCCATGATTATATCTGAATGCTGTTTAACATTATTAAACTCACTTTAAACATAAAACATTTGTTTGAATTTCTCTGCATTACAAATCTTTGCTGTTTTTGTCACCCCTTAGTGGCTATGTTTAGAATCTAATTTTAAAAAAGACAAAATAGTTACAAATGAAACAGTAAAGGGCACAAAGGCAAAAGGAGGAAGGAGTGTCAAATAATGTTCAGATGAATTGTCTTCAAATGATTTCCAAGTTCACATTTGAATGTACATCTTTAGTTGTACATTTAGCTGCTAAATTAGTTAGGGAAAATCATTATTCCCTAAAGAAATACAGTTCCTGACATATAACAGATAACTTCAGAAGTCTGCTGTGTCAGGCTGTTTTCACCAGATTATATAAATGAGAGTTATCCCCTAACTGGATTATCATCAAGCACAGCAAATGCACATGAAGAATAATCATGCAAGTTGTGTTTATGGACAAAGAAAGATAATTGTATTTGTCCAGTGCTTTTATTTATTGACAACAATGGTCCATAATTTTCATGTTTTTTTTTATCACAAATGTGAAAGTCAGTTTATCAGAAGGGATTTTCTATAATTTTAGACACATTTGTAATAAAATATGTATTTATGTGCTTATTCATTTAAATTTCAAGAAAAGTGTGTTACTAGTGTATAATAAATAAAAACGTGTAATAAAATGGGTAACAGTCAAAGACATAATGACAGTACCGCACATCCTTCCATGTTCTACTTACAGACAAACTCTTTCAATGGTCAAATACAAACATGTTTAATTTTGCTCTGATAGGGATCAAGATTTATAAAAAATCCTGGTGTTCCACTTAAAGCGCTAAAGAGGCAAGTAGAACATTTAATAGGTCTCAGTCATCAAGCTGGCAGAGCATGGCCACACCACGCTTGATCCAGTGCTGTGGGCGCTTGCTGGTGGGCAGCGTCATGGAAATGACAAAGTTAGTTGAGTGACCCGTGGTTGAGAGAGTGCCCTTTCTCTCACTCGTCTTATACAGTGGGCAAACGTACAACTTCTGAGGTTCATCCATGTTGTTTTTTTCAGCTGTATCAGAGAAAAACAGAGTTAAGTAAAGAAGAGGAGCACAGAGTTAAATAAATTGAGTGAAAATAATGAGAAATGACACAATAATGTGAGTGAAAGAGACACCGGAAAGCATGCAAGTCCTAAAGCAGAAATATTCTAAATACATGCACCAGTAATATGTTAAATGAGGTGAACCTTACCAGGTTGTATCCAGATGATGGGCATTGAGTCAAACAGGACTTTGGGGTGCTGCTCAGCCAGAAAACCACTGAAGTTTAGAATAACAACAACAAAGAAAAACAGAAAACTTATGTTTGTCTGAGTTTCTGTAATGATGGAAAAAGTAAATGTAACTATACCAAATCATGTAATGTTTTGGTACAGTTATAGTTGATGAATTTTAGAAACGTTACCTATGGAAAATTAGTACAGTAAAAAAAGCGTCTGACAGAGAGTTATGTGCATGAAGCACTTGTACAGGGCTTGAATAAATGCAACCCAGTTTCTACATTTTAAAAGGCAGCTTTCATGCAAGAAGTGCAGAGCCCTGCTTTTAACTAAAGAATGAGATGTGCTCTGAAAACCACATGGGTATGATATAAATGGCAAAGCAAGAGCTCTGGGAACACCATAGGTGAAACACACAGCAGAAACTCTTCAGTTTGCTCATGAGATGCTGTCATCCACCAACCATCTTATTTATGGCTGTGGTGGCACTGTTTTTAAATACATGCAGATTAGCAATCCTGCTTTTTCATCTTATTCCTAACCATGTCAATATGTCTACCTCTCTTTATCCCATCGAGCACCGTCAAGAAACAGTCCATTTATGTAAACACCGTCCTCGGGCGCTCTAGTTGACTTGTAAATGGGAAGAACCTGACAGATCCAACAAAACATAAAGTCAGTACATCATTTGGGCTTCAGGGACATGTTAATGTGGATAGAGAGGGATTATAAAGTGGTTTCAGACCTCAAAAGTAAAAGTCAACATATCAATGGGAACTTGGTATTTCCTGGCGTAGTTCTGCATGGCCCCAGTTAGGAAAGCCTGTGTGAAGAAGAAACCAGACAGCCAGAACACGATGGGCTTTGTGGTTTCAAACCAGACCTGCGGACACATAAAAGGGAAATAGTCTTCATGCACGTTGTGTATAGCCAGTGGTACACCACTGGTTCAAATGGCATTGATCATGCAACAGTCTTAGATGAACCTGTAAAAACTTGAGTCTTGTGAGAAAATCGGTAATATAACTGCCCAGGGGTTTGAGGCTTGGGTAAGAGCGCTTGGCCCATTTCTCTGGGACTTTGCCCACTATCAAACTGCCTGCCACTGCCTCCAGCTCAGAATCCATCACCACCAAGCCTTTAATAGCTTTCAAGAGGTTCTGTAGACTCACACGAATTGTGCCACACAACCTGAAACAGGAAAGACATGTTTAAAGATGTTTTAAGTTATTGGTGATTGTGGCTTTAAGTTCATCCGTCTTTTCATACGTGTTGTAGCGCTCCATCTCTTGGACAAGAACTGTGTTCATACTTTCTTCATACATCACAGGGAACTTCAAAAGAGCAGCTTCTGTGTCAAAATTGGCTGGAAGCTTGGAGAATAATCAAATGGATAAGTTACAAATACACAGAGAACTGAACACGGATTTATCAGGGAGCTGAAAACATACTTTTTTTAACGATATGTCAGATCTAATATTTGCATAACAAGATCCTCAACACATTACATCTGATGCCTAGAGGAATGTTGCGACTTCTGCAGGCATTTTGTTGGAATTCTATAGGAGAGTTTCACTATTTTAAGTCCTAATAACATCACATGCTGATGTAGTTCACAACTGAAAATATTCTGGTTTTTGCTTTTTTAATTGGTGTCCATAATTTATCCGCACAGCCCCAAACATGGCTGACCACATTCACAGCTATAATAAAGTCTGTAAATGCCTTCCACACTTGTTACAAATGGATGGCTTCAACTGTCCAGGAAATATTCAAAACAGAAACCTTTCAAGTCTGATCGATGTGAAGTGTATGTGAACATGGACATAAACACTGTTGGGAGGACTGAAGTTGTGGAAAGCCTTTTAGAAACCCTTCAAACCTTCCTCCATATTGGATGTCAAATATGTGGCTTTTCATTTAAAAAAAAAGAATGACATGTATTCTTCAGAGATAAAAGGTAGGATCCCCAGTGTTATTACAATTTATCCATCTGATGATATCTAGCTAAACCTCAATGTATTGGTGATCAATTTATCAATTGTTGACAATACTAATAACACTAATAATAATATTATGAAGATCTTGACATAACCGTGCGACTAACATATCTGAAAAATGTGATGAAATTAAGTAATTAATATGTACCTTTGTAAGGATATCACTTGCAATCTCATACAGGGTGTTATCAGTCCCAGAACTGGCCCCACCCTTAGCCCCTCCACCCTGGGTGAGAAGCAGTGAATCAAACAGCAGCTTCGTCTGCTGTAAGTCTTTCGAAATGTCAACATTTTCATGCATCCCAAACACCTCTGGATGCTGGCTGAATGGAAGATTCTAGAAGACAACCAATGTATTACTACTCCCAGGAAGTCAGAGACCAAACATACTTATTTATCCTCTTAAAGGCTCTGTACCTTGATAAACAGAATGTAGTCATCATAGCTAGATTTAGATGGGGCATAGTATTCACCACTCGGAGACAGAGGGTAGTGAAATGTCTCAATGATTTCCTTGTTGTAGAAATCAGCCAAGATAGTCAACAGGAGTCTCCTATCCCAATCATCTGTAACTCGGCCACCATAATTACACTCTCCAGTCAGATATGTTATGGCTTCCAAGGGCACCTCATCATATTCATTTACAAAAAGCTAAAAAAAAAAGGAGAAACAAATATTATTTTAGATTTAATTAAATTGGGAAATGAGTCTCACTGACACAGGTGACTTAATACCTGGAGTTGTCTGATGCTGATGCGCAGGTCAGACTCATTGAAGCCATAAGGAATATTCCAGCCCAGAGGACCAAACTTTTTCCTTTCTTGTAAGAGAGCATGGAAGAAGCACAATCCATAAAGAAGTTTCTCCCAAGCCTGGTGAAGAAATCCAGAAGATAATTTCAATGACTTTCCTCTGAAAACCCAATCTCATTAATAAATTAAAGTCAAACTTACAAGCTCCTTATTTGGACAGTTTTTGAAGAAGTTTGGGTCAGATACAGGATCAGACAAGTAAGACTGTAGGAGGTTGAGGCGGAGTCCTGTTGGAGGCTCGTTTGTCATTTTGACTCCATTCTGCAGGATGGTCACTGGGAACTGATTACAGAAAAGTAAGCAAATTTATATATGGTATACATTTTTACAAAACATTTCATCATGAACAGATGAAAGCTTTATCTAACAATTCTAAGTTATTGATTTGCTGAGATTAGTGGCCAATACATTACCTTGGGGGAAGGATAACTTGTGAGCCAAAGGCGGAAGTCTTGATGGCATGTTGTAGGATTGAAGTCCTCACAGGTTTTCTCCAGTGTGGACATCCATGACACAGCCAGGTGACAGTTCTGTAAACACACCCAAGTCCCATTCTGCATGGCAGTGGAAATCATTTTAGCGGCTATGGGCCCCTGGCCCTGACCCAGCGAAATGGACTGGAACTTAGCCCCACCCATATTCTTGTCACCGGCAAATTTCAGTAAACCTGTGGAGAGGCGAGAAGAATTTTCAGGAGAGGCATAACATGGCTTTCTGTTGATCCCTCACAGGTAGCGAAAGACTTACTGGCCATGGGATCAGCTCCTGGTGAAAGCACAAACACAAGTGGGATGGTAGAGTTGGAATCCAGGTAGCTCTTACTCAAGTCAAAGGGAGGTGGCTGAATAAATTTCTTTCCCAGATTGCCAGTCACATATTTAGTCACAGCTGGTACAATTTTATCAGACCTGAGACAACGGACGATTATCATCTTCTGCAGGTCATTGAGTTTGTCACACCACGGTGCAGGCAGAGCAACATTACATGGCTCTTTGCTGTCATAAATAGGTTTGAAGTCTCCTGGACATGCAATGAAAGCTTCTCTGTAAAATATAAGACAAGTCAATCCACTGTCATACTAAATATACAAATATTAAATTACAATGAGAGAAAGCTCAAGTGAATAAAGACAAGTCATTTAAAATGTATTTAGTTTGACTGATCATTGCTGCTTACTTTATTCCTTGTAAGCCGGGTAGTTCACTGGCTCTGCAGATTTCATCCCAGCTTTTGTCCTGAAGCCAGCTGGGGTCTGGATTTTTAATGGTGTTCTGTAGGCCCACTCCCCCAGTCAGCAAGAACATAAAGTCTGCTAATTCAATCTCATTCTTTGTTCTGAGAAGGTAAATCAATAGTTGTTAAAATATACATGTAGTCTACCGATTTTAGATATAAATATCATATTGGCATGAGGGTAGAAGCGGAGATAGCTTGCAGCTGTTAGACTTACAGGAGCAAATTGCAGCAGAGAACGAAGGAGAAGAGGAGTTTGTCCTTCTCAAAGAGAGAACGGCAGACGTTGCAGTACAAGTTATAAGTGAAGTGATCAATAAGGAATTGAAGCCTCCTTTCCAGAACCTTTGACTTGTTACTAATGGATAAAAGACACAAATATAATTTCAGCATTCACAGATTAACACTGACAGTAAAACTAAATTTCCAGCTCTGCTCCAATAGAAAGTAGCTAGAACCAGTTTTAAATATGTTTTTTTGACAATAACACTATACCAATATCAGTCAAACGTGCAACTATTTCATGAGTAATTGAGAGACTAATCTTGCTTACCTTTAAATACATTTTTTAAACAATATTATAGATGTTTTTATATTGCCTGTCTTATTGAAATGGGTAATTGGTGTGTGAAATTTTTGCAAAATATGGAAAGCAATATTTTACATAGAGCTGGATGAGATTTGCATTGATTAATTTTGTTATTGCAGAATACAGATCATGTGCATTACTCACCTGTCTTGTATTGAATTGATGTAGAGATTGACGAACCAGCTGAGAGAGTACTGGTACATGGGGTCTATGTTAGTGAGATCAGCGATACTGAAGAACAGGATGGATGAGTGTTTGGCAACAGCTCTGTAACCCTCTCTGGACTCAGCTATTTTAATTTCTGTCTTCTCTGCAATCTTTTAAAGAAGTAAACAGGGGTTCAGATTCCCTAAACAAAATGACAGTCTCACTCTGAGTTGAATGTATCATTTCTACCTGCTGTTTCTTGCTGATCTCATTGGACATGATCTTTGCTGAATCCAAAATCTGAATGGCACTCTCATCTTCCAAGATATTTCCCTCAGAGGACTGTAAAGTTTCCAGGATTTTGTCTTCAATTTCCTTTAGTTGCCTCTTATTGTCAGCTGATTGTAGGATTAATGCATTTCTCTCTTCTTCCAGTTCTGGCCTGTAGAAAATGTATAGAGGCTAGTGGTAAAAGAAAACAAAGTTCATATGTTTCAGAAGAACACCAAACAGGCCATTTTATGCTACCTCTCCTTTGCAACTACAATCCCAAGCAGCTGGTCCTCCAATCCTTCTGGAGTGATCATAAAATTGAGCAGGGACACTTTGGTTGCCAGTTCAGGAAGGTAGTGTGGGTTCCTTAGCTTGGTGGTGATGTAGAAACGGAAATCAGTGGAGTATTCAATCACACTCTCACCAAGCCTGATGCAATCAACACCACCTAAGACAGGAAAACCCCCAAAACGTAATTTAGTGCAATGACAGTGATTGACAACAAATCAAAATTGAAAATACAACCATCCTATATTCAAGGACCTTGTTTGAAGGTTTGTTTGAGTAGCAGAGGTTCAAGAGAAGGATCCAACTCTTCTCCTACATTTTCCAACAGCAAAGGTGTTCCAAATTGAATGCAGTTCTCCAAAGTTCTCATATAATCCCCATCCGTTAACTTGATTACACTCAAGTTGTTGTCTTTCTCTGAATTTTTCACCCACTTGTTGGCTTGACCCTGAGGATCAATCATCAATGGCCTAAAAGAACAAAAAACAAAACAAATGGCTGAATGGGAAATATTTTTGTCTTGATTTAAAAAGATATCTCTGATAAAAAGTTCAAATTTTATATCAACTACATTCAGAGACACAGACTTACCATCTACGTGAATTACTGACAATGACACCGTTGTCGATTGAGAAAGAGTCACTCGGAAGGCCTGCGATGTTCCAAGCCCTGATTTTAATGGGATCTCCCAGTGTTTGACTTAGAGAGAAGTCATCTGCTGATGGAATTTTCTTGGACTGGATATTTTTAATGAGAAAATGACAAAAGATGCAGCTAAAAATATACAGCCAGTGAGAAAGTGTCTGCAAAATGGACGAGAAGGGACCATTACTTGGCAAAGTTTGGTCCACATCTGAGTGCAGTTCTGTCTGAAGCCAGCAGTGAAAGCCCCCAAGTAGGCGATGACACCAGCAGAGACGAGAACGTCTCCAGTCAAGTTGTCATACGTGTTCTGTAGATCATCTGCTGCTTTTGACCACCTAGGGATAATTTTCAATTCAATTCAGTCAGCTTTTTTTTACAACAATTTTTTACAGCAAATAGGCAGCAAAATAATATTCTTCACCTGGTCTTTTCTCCACCCAAACCACCAATTAGCTTTTCAGCCCTCTCCAGCTTTCTTGCACACAAATCGACTTGGAACTCCAGCTGGGCTTTCTCTTCAGTCTTTTCCTCAAAGGTTTTCTGAAGATCTGCCAAACGGTCCTCCACTTCCTTTAATTCAGCTCTCTTCTGGTCCAGCAGGGCCTTGGTCTCTTCCAAGGACGCCTTGGCCTCTGCAAGTTTAGCCTTCTTTGGAGCAACAACCTAAAACCAAAAAGACTGTTTAAGATTAAGAAATAAGTAGAAATGTGCCTCAGGAATTGTGGGGGGAAATCTGACAGGATCTAGAAAGACAGCACCTTGGCCACACGGTCGTAAACTTCCATTGCTTTAATCCACTTGCACAGGCCTTCTGCAGCAGAGGAGGCTTTAGCCACTATGCTGGGGTCAAAGTCAGGATTGGTCATGTACTCAGCGCGAATTTTCTGCATCACAGGTACCTACAATTCAGAAGAGAATAGGATTATTGACACAAAATACATTTTTCTTTATTTTTTTTAAAAAGAAACACTTATTGATACTAACAGGAATATTGTCTTTGTCGTATTCTTTAAGATCTCGTAGAAAGTTCATGTCACCCAGCAGCTTTTTACTTGGACCCCAATAGTCAAATACCTAGATGATAAAAACACAAACATTAGCTAAATTCCATACACGTAAGATTTAAGTTGGGATAAAAAATAACTAGTTGATAATCCTGATATATTATAGAGAGCTTTGTATGGCCAGTCTCACCTTTTTCCCAGTACCGGCTGGGTCAGCTATCTTGTCTGGCTTTAAATCTTTCATCACACATACAGCTGCCATCACCAGCTTTACTCCTGAAGGTGGATTTTTCATTGATTTCACAATTGTGATGTCAGTGGGCTGAAATGAAACATGCAGCTTCACTTTGTCTGGTTTTTCACTCACGGTGATTTGAATAGGACAAGGTATTCCAGAAAAAGCATCCCAGCTGACAGATACTCACCTTTAACGTGTTCAGGGCAGAGAGAGCAGCCTCCAGGGCAGGGATGGCTTCAGCCAACTCACTCTCGCATTCATCATTCAGAGACTGGGCCTCATTAGCTTTGATAGTTGCTGCCTCTTCATCAACACGCACAACTTTACTCTTGGCTTCCACCACCACTGATTCCTCTTCAATCACCTGAAAATCACATATAGTATCTGAATATATTCATATTTATACTTTATTTTATGATGAATGTAGCCTAAAGTGTCGATGTGCCAGTGTTGTCCAAATGACATAACATGTGTTCACCTTCATCATTATATTGTTATCTATTTTTGCCTGTTCCAGTTTGGGTTGGAGGTCTACCAATTCCTTTTTCATCTCAGCAACCTACAGAAAGACAAAAAAGAATGATGTTTTATGAATAAAGTTGTCATAAAAAACAACAGAGAAAAAACAAACAAAGACAATCTGTAAAAACTGCAATTAACGTACCTGAGATTCAGCAAAGGCTAGTTTATCCAGACCATTTGTGTACCTTTGTTTTGCCTTCATGACAGCGTCCCTTTTCTGATTAAGTAGTTGACGGAAAGCTGCAATCAACTCCAAGTAGGATGTGGGAGTCACATAGTTATGGCGACCTAGTTCTGCGAGGAATCTGAAGTGATAGCATTGTAACTATGAGCGCATACTTTACCACACAACACATTCGCATACACAAGTTCAAAATAAGCAAGCCATGCCTCTGTGACAGCTCCTTTGCAGAGGTGTGGAATGATTTACAGATGGGTATGACCTGTTGTCTCTCATTTTCACTCATCTCCAGTGTCTCCAAGAAGCAGTTGGCGACTTTCTCAAGAGCTTCCTCTGGCCATGGCTGCCAGCACACAGATGGGAAAAGGATACGTGAATTGGAATGGGTTATTTGATTTTTTTTTTCTACATCGTCTACATTTTTCTTTTATATCAACAGAGTCCTACTTGCCCTGACTGACACACATGTAGAAACTCTTTTTTTTGTGACTGTTATGGCAATATATTTAAATGAAGATTTCATGTAAGTGTCTCTTTATGTTTGCAAAGTACCTGATACCAGTCAATAGTGCAGCAGTTAATAAGACATGGAAATTGTCTTAGTCGATTTCGGAAGGCGTTTCCAATAGGGCTGAAGGCCACAACAATGTGCAGGTTCTCTTTACAACGTGACACAAAGAAGGCGAATAGAGTCAAGGGGCTCAGATCCAAATTCTTATTGCCAGCCTGTGCAACGGGACGTATTGTCTAAAGAAAGAGGGAGAAATGAGAAATAATTGTTTATTTAAGATAAAGAATATAAAAATCGAAAGAGCTGTGTAAGAATGGATATGTGTACCTCCATAATTTCTTGCTTCTCATCTACAGCAAAAAGATTGGGCACCTCTCCTGTGTTCAAGACACTGTCCACGTCTTCAAGAAAAGCCTCATCTTTGATCTGAGCATCAGTTATCAAGAACACTGTCTTCTGTCCTTTCACCCCAGCATTCTTCAGCAGTAACTGCAATTTCAGGAATATTAAACTGAATATCTCGATCATAAGCACAAAATTATAAAAATGTCTGGAAATGTCGTACTAAGTTTTACCTTTAGGTCGTCTCTCCATTCTGTCATGCCGTAGCTCTTTGAAATCTCAGGCTGGACTAAGGTCATGTGTGCCATTGATGTGGCCAAGCGGGTTATAGACTGGCGTCCGCTGCCTCCCACTCCCACTAGCAGAGCATTGCCTCCTGGCTGCTTTAACACACGGCTGATACGGGACAAGTGTTCAAGGACGTACCTGCAAAATAAACATTATTTTCAGTAGAGTCACAAAAAGTACAGTTTTATAAACCTTCTCCCTGTATTTTACGTCACTTGGTAACACAATCAATCCTTTGCGAGAAAACTATATTAATTCAGTAAACTAACTACATTTTAGTGCTACAGCCAAAATACTGTACCGGAAGATGACAAGGTTCATCTGATTCTTATGCATCTGGTTGTATTCTTCAAGACATGAATGCACCACCTCTGCAAAGGTTTCAATTGAGGGCACCTCAGCATACAGGCGCTCATCATCCTCCAAATCAGGGTTCATGTAGTCCCCAAAAAGAAGATTTCTCATGTCTTCCTCAACGAGCTGTGAATAGAAGAGCGAGGATGGCCAAAATGAAGATACACATTTTTTTTTTTTTAAACTAATTCTTGCAATATTTCATATATTAGCAGAAAAATATAACTGAACAAAAAAACTAAATGTGGACCAGAGTAACTCTTCCTTTCTTTATCTATAACAATAGTAAATAATCTGACATGACAGTAAAAATAAACTCACTTTACTGCCTTGTTTCAGATGATCAAAGACCTGGTCAAAAGGTTCCTTGAAGTGGTCTTTGACAATATTGTTCATCAGATTGTAAAGCCATGTTCTGTCTTTGTCATCCACAAGACGATCATAGTAAACACGGAATACCTCATGGACAAACAGTCGTATCATAACCCGTTTGTTGTCCAGAGACTCTTTTTTCAAAAGCAGGCACCCTTGGATAACCCGAGAGAAGTCTCGCAGATTGAAAGTGTAGTGAGACTTTGCTGGAGTTGGAAGTAGGTTCTTCATGGCTTTCTTATACACCTATGGAGAAAGATATGCGGTTTGGTTTTTGTGATTTTGTGATTGCAATTGTGATTAATTGTGTGTGTCATCAAAGAGAAACCCACTTCCATCGTAGCTGTCACTATTTGGTTGCCAGCAGTGAAAAAGTCAGGTGGGAATTTATTGTTTTTGAGATAGAAGGCCACAATGTTTGAGAAAATGTGGACCATAGTGTCATCACTGAAGGGATTTATACTAAAAATGTTGAAATGCCTCAGGAAGCGAGAAGTTACAGCATTCCTTCCACCACCAGGGGGTCCCATTGCTGCGATGAGCTGGATATCCACCAGACTGATAGTCGAAGTATCCTTCAAGTCATACCTGGCAGAGCATAAAAATCAGATCTGCACAGTGCTTAAAAGCAGTGAATTAGGTCCTGCTTATTTATCTGTGGCATCTACACTGTTAGAATTTGAAATAGGCTTTTCACTGGGGGTGGCTTACCAGTTTCCATGGTCTATGTACTGACGAAGAAGCTCAACGGGAGGCTGCGCACCAAACTGTTCCAATGCTGGCATGTTCATGTCATCTACAAAGATGACACACTTTTTTCCCATTGGAGGCCCAAACACTCCTTTCCTTCTCTTATCTAACCTGGACATGATGATACTCTGGAAGATGCAATAAATCCAGAGAAAATAACCGAATGTCAAAATTAAATTTGATTTTCTTTCTTTGTTAAAATAATTGCAAAATTAGGCCTATTTAATGTGATTCGTTCAAAGAAAAAACAGACCTGGGTTTGATTTGCACTAGTGCGAGCTGAAAAGTTGATGAAGAACGGCAGATAGGAGTCTTTGTCCAGATTGTTCATCAGTTTCTCCTTCACATATACTGACTTTCCAGTGCCAGTTGGTCCCACAAACAGAGGAGGACTGAGCAGCAGAACAAAGTAAGTGTTTAATATTAACTGTAGATAAATCATATGCTCCTTGAATACTACAAACACGAAACCATAATGGTACTTGTTCAATTGTATTATATAATGATGAAACCTTTGAGAATACTAACACTCCGTGGCTGATGCAAAGGTCCATTAAGAAAGTGTAGCGAACTGTGTCAATAGTGGGAACAATGATGTCCTGCACTTTTGTGCTTTTGTCTCCTAGGTTTATATTCTTAAGGCCATCATTCCAGTGAATCCACTTTCCTTTCCCTTTAAACTGTTGGGAAGATCATTTGAAGATTTACTCATTTCAAACAAATGGATTTCTTTTGACTGATGGGAGTATACCATACCTCATAAAAGTAGTCATACACTAGGCCTTTCTCCTCTACTGGACATTCCCATTTTCCAACTGTTTCTGGAATCGGATATTCTTTTGATTGTCCTGAGACTGTCACTCTGACAAACTCACTAAACTTTTCTCTGCTATCTGCATCACAGCTGCCACCCACAGACCAGACCAGGGAGAAAGCAAAAGCTGCCTGCAAGCAAAGTAGGAAAGAGCAGAGATGTGTCATATGATTTCACTAAACCGAAAAATAAAAACAAAGAAAACGAAAGGGATTGGTAAACATTCAACCCAATATTTAGCAAAGAAAATGTTAAAAAGATTAATTTTTTTACCATGATCCAAGTGCGAATACTTTTATCAACAGGGCCTGACTTCATAGGTTCGGTAAGAAGCATCTCAAACAGTCGACACAGGGACACCACAGTGTTACTGTTGCTAGTGGGAACAACTTCCTATTTTTAAGGGAAAAAAAATTGCAATGACAAATTGTCTATATTTTTACATAAAAGAATTGTCCCACATATATGTATGCCTTAATTGAACAATGTTGTGGGTGTTGCTCACTCTGCAGTCTTTGCGTACTGTCCTAAAGGCAGGTGGAAGGAGCCAATGGAAGAGCTCAAGCAACAGAGGCTGATTGTCTGAGCTCTGCAGAGGGTCAGGAAGCGTGTTTATCCAGGAGATGACCAAGGGCTGCCAGCCAAGCTGAGATGGTTCCATGTATATCATACCACACCGGCTGACTGTGGCAGGCTGTAGTCAGAGGAAATAATCTAATCAAATCATCTTTATGAGCTCCACATTTATACATCAATTAGGAAAATAAAAAAATACATACATTTTTAAAAACAATAGACAAGGACGGAAAAAAGTAGGAAATGCACACATTAAACTCACAGAAGCTTGTGATAGATCCATTGCTTCAAAAATCAGACTCATCTGACTAGACATCTGAATAATTTCACCACTCATTAGGCACAACTGTGGAAAAGAATAAAGCAAAAAGTCATCTAAACCTGTCCCACAATTATGTGAAAACTGCCTTTTTTGTTTTACTTTTAATATTCTGTACCTTTTTGTTGTCATCCAGCACAGTATTCATACTCTCAATCCACAGCGTATCTATGGGACCATCAAATACCACCCATTTGCGGTCTGGTGTTTCAGATGATGCAAACTCACGAAAAGTATTGGCCACAATCCCATCTGTCCACTAACAGGGAACGTCAATATGGGAAAAAGAAAAGATAGGCAAACATAGACTCAGATCTTCATTAATACTACAAATTAACTCATTTGTCTACTGTACAGATGATCTAATACAATAATTTACCTCATGGGAAACAAGGTCAAACTGTCCAAAGAGCTGGCCCATGGTAATGGACTTTGGGTTCACAGTTCTAAATATGACCTTCTCTTCTGCACCAGACCCTTTCTCGTTCATAAGAGTCAGAGTGTCAGCTAAAACGTGAAGCACCTTGGTCTTTCCAGCAAAAGGCTCCCCCACCAGCATGAACCTGAAAATGAGCATTTTAGTGTAACACTGTGTTTTATACACCCATCTTAAGGGAGCATAGCTGGGAGTAAAACATGACCACAAGGAAATACAGAAATGCAGCCTACCCATGCCTTACTATCATCATCTCATATGTCTGGATCATCTTTTGTAAGAAGACCTGTGTTGCCTGAACATTGTGATTTTTACAGCACTCTTCTGCAGCCTCCAAGAACAGCTAACAACGGAAAAAATAGATTATTAAAATGGTTGATATAAATAAAAGTAACTAAAGGCTTTAACATATACAACCTGATAATCAGCCACAGGAAGCGAGATTCCAGGAAACAAATCGCTGGTTATTCCGTTGAACAGTGGAATATCATGAGAAAGGAACTTGGGCTCATTAACATCCTTTATGGATCTCAGGAGCTGAATATTGCGACAAAAAACACTAAATCAACGGACAAGTAAAATTCTATATCAAGTTGTAGAATAATGTTAGGAAAATAATTAACACTTCAGCACAGTTACCAGAATGTCCTCATTCTCTTCAGGATACTTGAGCTTGAGGTTGCCTGCAGCCACAAGTACTGCTTTGACAGCCCTCATACCATAATCATAATGGAACTGAGAGGAAAGCTGTTCTGAACAAAGCCTGTAGGTCATCACAATCTTTACTGACAGTGGTTTAGCATTGAGAAAACCATATGAATACAGAGAGATCTCTGCAATTAGAGCGTAGTTGGGAACCATCATGGCCACAGTGCGGAACAGTACCTGCACAGAGAAAACAGGAAGAAGATTGTGTTTTTCCTTGGTTATTTAAAGGCTGTACAAACATTGCGTGATAAATATTATAACTGTTTTCTAATAAAATACTTTTAGGTTGTCTGGGAGTTCTGAGCGTCCTGCATAGCCGGGGTTCATTGTAATAGACACAAAGCAGTTAGGATTTAGTTTGAGCATAGTCCCTTCAAAGTCAAAGTACTCCAGCTTCAGCTCAACGGCCCTCTGGATGCAAAGAACCTGTTGGGCCACTACAGACAGCACCTCCAGCTCAATACGGTTGAATTCATCAAAGCAGGCCCAAGCTCCAGATGAAGCTAGACCTTTGAAAAACTATGACAAATCACATCAAAACAAACATATATTAACATAAGACTGATTAAATACCATGTTAAAACAAAATAATGAATTTTAGATTTCTAGCAGGTATTACTTTCCCCATGGCAAGATAATCAAGTCCATCTGAACAGTTAAAGACCACACACTGTACAGCAAGTGCTTTGGCTAAGTCTTTAGTGGTTTCTGTTTTTCCTGTTCCAGCTGGACCCTCTGGTGCACCACCCAAATTCAGGTAGAAAGCTCCGATCTGAAACGAAGGGAGAGCTTTGGAGTTAGTATTACTTAAAAAAATACAAAGTTATTTTCATATTAACGTACATATGTTTTGGGCACACTTATTTATTTATTTTTTTACCAGGGTTCGGTAGCATCTGTCAGTCAGAGGTGTGATGACTAGACGCAAGGAGTTTCCCAGATACTCATAGGCATACTTAACATCACAATTTATTATGCGAACACGAACATTATCATTGTTCCAGTAGTATCGGAGCTGGGCTAGCCATTGGAAGTCAGTTTCATGGGATACACCTATAATAAATTGATAACATTACAGACATATGGGTTGTGTAGATCATTAATGCTTTAATTAAGGTAAGAATTTTTTGTCATTAGGTACCTTTCTGAATAAGATCCATGACTACATCCCTTGCATGGACATCGATTGTGACAAGTGCTCCAAGAGTAATCCGTGTTTGTTTTGGTAGTTTCCCCCTCACCAGCTCTACAATGTCTTTCAGTTGACTCTGTAGCTGCTGATAGTAGTTCTTTAAACCCTGCAAAAAAAAATCCTTGATATCTTTTTCTTCTTAGGATGGCTAAAATATGATGCCATACTCATTAAAGAAAAAGTTTTAGGTTAAGTAAGCATAACGTGAGAAAATTATCTATTTTACAGAACTAATTTAAAAATCTTTATTAGCGGCTCTTATTATTTCAAATGGTTGAATACTTTAAGTTGAACTTTGATTTGAATCACTAATGTAGATTTCATCAACCTTAAACTGTGGTAAACCACAAAAATTCTATTCAGTGCATTAAACTGACAGTAATCAAATGGGATAAATATAGTAGAACACAAATATGTGGCAAAATGACTCACATCAGCCCCTGAACTGATGGCCTCGTGAACCTCCAAAGTCCAAAAAATCTGCGAAGTGCAGAGAACCACCTGTCCAGGCCACTCTTTGACCCACTGGTTCCGTACAGTCTCAGCATAGGCCTGTCCAGGCAACCAAATAAGAGGGAGCTCACATCATTAAAAAAAAACTTAATATGGTGCCTATGTAAAGCTGTATATCATTTAAATGTCATGTATATTTCAATGACTAAGGATAGTGATCTCACCACCCGGGACCGGGCAACTACATCTCTGACACTGCGAAGCATGACATCTTCCACCTGGACCAGCCACTTCTCCACAGCTCCTTTGGCTTCAGATGTGGAGATATGCTGGATTAGCTCAACACGCTCTCCTTCACCGCTGTACATGGCCTAAGCAAGAGTTTGGAACATTTTAATTAAAGGTAATGAGCCATAGTACCATGTAACAATAACACTTTTGTGCAACCGCCTTGCCTGTATGTCCAGATTAGGTAGGAAGTCAAGTTTGGAAATACCCTCGAAACACTTCTTCAGATGAGGCTGAACTCGCAATGGATCCTTGGTTTCAGAAAGAATCTCAAGCATTTCATCGTTGGATAAGAAGAAGAACCTAACAGTAAATAAGGAGTAAATGTAAAAATCTGTGTTGTGATTTAAAAAAAGAAGATTAAAAACCTGTGCCATATTAGTATAATCTATTTGCTTGTTTACCGAGGGAAAAAAAGGCGTTTCTTCTCTAGATAGGCATTCAGTCCCTTCATAATGGTATCAAGGAGTGTATTGGAATCTTGCAGCTTCTCAAGCAAACCAGGCATTGAGGTTGCTGGCAGAATCTGTGATAAGATACAATTAGCTAAATAAGTCATCATAAGTCACATATTTTCTTGGAATTTTTTCAATTATTTGTACCTTAGAGTCCTTAACACAGTGTTTCATAACCAATTTCCAGTTTTTGTCAACAGTTTGGAAGAGCTTTCCTTCTTCTGGAATCTGCTGCATGATATCCTGAGATGAAAAGATGGGTTCCAGGTAGAGCCACTGGGCTTGCACCTTTAGCCACTCATCTACAGTTTCCTGGATGCGAAGCAGACGTGCTTCCCAATCCTAAAATGACAAAATAACAATATGTTGTTCATTGAAAGAAGCAGCACTCTCATGCAAATGAAATAGTTGCTCATAATGTAAAGATGCTTTCTAAAATGTGAAGCTAACCTTGATTTCATCCTCAAACGGTTTGATAAAAGGTGAGCCCCTCATTGTTTGAGTCTTTACAATCTGGTCATCTAACATTGTCTGTATATCATCCAAGGAGGTCAAAATGGAAACCCCAGTCTCCCTGTATGGCTGATGGTGGAAGGAAATACCATCCCAAATATGGACCATTGTTTGCATAGCCTTCTCCAGAGAAAACTCCTGTGAAGAAAAATAATTAATAATTAATTCAACAAGCAGATTACGTTGCAACCTCTACAAACAAGCAGAACATATCAGGTGTTCTCACTTTACTAGCAGCGGCACTGATAGACTCAAACTCTTCCAGGTAAGGGGTCAGGTTTTGTGTGAGAAGTTTCCTCAGTGTTGTACCAGAGTTAGGGGTGAGATCATACCCCACTATCTGTGACATCTGTTGCCAGTGACGAGCTCTGATACCTGGATTACACAAAATGGACACTACAGGGATGTAGCCCTGTTGAAATAAGCATAATACAATTAGGGGGGGCAGAGTAAGACACCTGCAATGAGACTTAGTGTATGGTCTGCCTCAATTTCTTTATAAAAAATACCTTGAACCGTTTGATTTGCTCCATGACAGCAGAACACAGTTCTACTGTGGGACTCTCCAGTTTGTTTGGACCATCCTCATTAGATTGGCGTGTCATCTTCCCTGACATTTTCTCCATCTCTTGTACAGCCTTATTGTGCTTTTGCTGAAAAAACTTCAGCATCTTGAAGATTTCTCTAAAAAACTCATCCACTTGAACCTCCATGCTTTCCCCATCAAGATCCAGGAAGGAGCCATCCATCCATCTATTCACAAAGGTTTGTGGTGAAAGGTTAACGGGATGTTTTGAGAATGAAAACATATCACTCATATTTTGAATTGAAACCGGACCTGTTCTCTGTGCGCTGCCACCTATGAATAAATCCAAACAGCTTCTGATATGGTTCAATACGCTCTTTGATGACTTCAACTTCTGGGTAATGTGATTGATCCCATTTATAGAACGCCTCCTCATTGTTAATAAGGTCGATAGTCTCATCAGCCTCCTGGAGAAGTTTCTGAACTGTTCTGACATCTGCTACATACTGTTTGAAAAGAAATATTTGTCCAAATAAGAAGATTGAGCTCACATATAATTTTACATCCAGATTTTTTCAATTATACAGTGACTGTAACAACCTTAGAAATTCTGGTGTACCTCATAAAAAAAAGAAAGAAAGAAATAGTAAAGCTGGTCCTATGAAACAGCAGTGAGGGATTATTTACAAATAAGTCAAAAGCAGAATGGATGCAAGTGTCAGCATGTTCTTGTGAATTAGAGGCTTCTACATTAAATATTGATGTTTTGATATCTATGAAAGTTAAACCACGGCTTAGAGGTTTCATGTTTTTGTGTTAAATGTTGAAATTATTTCCGTAACATTTCTGAATGTATTATGAACTGATATTTGAATGGTTTCTATAGCTGAAAGTATGCTGAAGTAACTTTAAAACTCTGAAACAATTTGGAGAAGTGGAAGTTTTCACCGTTCAGCTGAATTTGCCGAAAACACTGAAATTCACAAAAAAGGTTAAATAGCTATATATACTAAAATAATGACTTGGCACAGCTGAACATTTTATTATACACTGAAGTAACTAATTGCCAAAAATCATATGGAACATACAATATGCTACGACAAAGAGAAACAGGAAAAAACAAACAAACAAGCAAATATTTCCCAAAATAACAATTTATATCAAATAACAATAGAAAGTAGTGTTGACACTGTACCTGTGGTATCATATTCAGCTCACAGCAATGTGGAAACTCCTCTATTCTGCACCCCAGCTTTTCAAGAGAAACCATTAACCTTTCTCTTTTTGCCATGAGGTCCTTCTCTCCTTTTTGCTTGGCATCCTGTACTACCTGAAAAACAATTGTTAGAATGAGATCATTCTTGAAAAAAGACGGATATACTATAACCCTCACACTGTTATCATTTTACAATTACAATTGATGATACTTCTATTCTTTTTGTTTCGGTCATCAGTTATTTAGCTATTTGATTTCCATTTAGGTAATAATTAATAAACAATCCAATATGTTTTTTTAAATATATTTTTCTAGGCAGACATGGGACCTTACCTCATTATTTTGCTCAAATGCATGAAGGATTTTTTTTGGCCAAAGAAAAACAGTTGCGTTAAGCTCCAGATCTTTTGGCTCAATGATGTACACATCCAACAGATAGATAAGTCTGCAACAGGCTTCCTGTTAGAGAACATTGTGGCGTTAAAAAATGTGAGTAGTATAACAGATAGAAACAACATATAAAACCAATCATTATGTGATTCACCTTTATTTTTTCACTGAGATCTACCATACCCTTCGTCTTTGTACAACTCATGTAGTCAACCATCTGTGCAATGTCCTCTGTATTCTTGGGAATTTCAAGAGCTTTCTTTCTGATAGTCTCAAATTCAGAACAGATCCTTTGTGCAAACAAAAAGAAGAAAACTTTTAGTTTGTGAAATTCAAACCGAAACACCATTAAGGATGCAATAGGAAGAGACGTACAGTAGACTTTGCTCACGGTGTCTGGTAACAAGTTGCTTTAGAAGAGTTTCAGCAAAGGTTGTAGCTTTGTTAGAAAGCCCTTGATTCAGCTCCTCACAGTCCAGGTGGACCATTGTGAAGGAAACTTTGGCAGGCAGACTGATGATCTCCTTTGACAGCAGGAAGAACTCCTCCACTTTCTTTAACAGGAAGAAAGATTACTCACAAAAAGTTCTCAGGAAACATGATTACAACCAAACAGGAGTATTTAATGTATGCACTTCATTGTTCTTTACCTTAGTGTACTCATCAAATGAGCAATCCTCTTCTATAAACGCATCTATTTGAACCTGTGCAGTTCCATTAACAAGCCAGTCATACTTCTCAACTGCAGAACAAACCACAAAAATCAGTGACGAACTGAATCTATGTGAGTACAGTGATGGGAGAAAATTAAGAATCGTGGTACATCACCATAGCTTTGAAAGTGTTTGTCAGGTTCCTCTAGATGTTTACGCACAGCTGTCTTTACTGTTTCCTCAGCCCTAGCAAGAATTTCGTCTGCCACCTTTGCATCCACATATGAAGACGAGTTTTGTGCCAACCATGAGTGGATGGTTTGTACTTTCTGTGAATCAGCGTTGTAGATGTCAATAATACATACATTTCCAATTTCCCTCTAGCCAAAGAATTGAAAAAATCATCTTACCTGAAATGTATTTGCCATGGAATTAAGGATCTCCAAAACAGAAGCCTCCAGATCTTGGAGGGTGGGGTAAATTTCCATCTTTTCATCATCAAATGTCAAAGCCATTCGGAAGATTGGCAAGCAGTAAATGTTGCTTGGATCAAATACACTGATGAACTCATCAATATTCTCCTGAAGGAGGCTTTTCAGCTAGGTATTTAGGCAAGAAATATGTGCAATCAAGAAAAACAGTAAATGTTAGTGTAAGATTATTTTTAAAAGACACAGTCCTTAAAATAAGTGTCAGATTTGATGTAGGTTGTTTAGAAATGTATATTTCAAAAAGCTAGCCTACTATTCAGACACTGACTATATACTTAAAAGGAGTAATTATTTTACCTGATTTGAAATTAGGGTGGATGCACAGTTGTAAAAGGAATCCAGTTTCCCCTCTTTAACCTCTTTCAGTGTGTTTTCATTTGCGAACAAATGGATGATTTTGGGAAACCATGTATTCATGATTTGATCTTCTTTCCTCTTACACTCCACAGCTGTTTTGTTCTGAAGGCTTTTACAGTCTATAGGTCCTAAAGTTCTATGCCAAACGAAGACAAAATATACATTTAAAAAAAAGCTAAAGCTTATGTTTGTACGGTTGCTTGTTATATTAAATATCTTATTACCTGTATCCTGACAGATCAACTAAGACCAGCTTAGAAAATGTTGTGTAGCCAAGATCCAAAATAGTTTGCATGACAGGATGAAGACTGAGCAAATTTTTTTTAATCACCCTGCGGCTTTTTATAAAGCTATCATGCCACGGCTGGGAGTAACTAGGAATTCTGCAAATAATCAACAACAGATTTAAAAAATGAGCAGTCGCAAAAAAATATACTGTTTTCTGATTATCGTCATGAATTGTTTGTGCACATTAGGAACTCACTTTGGATGGGTCGCTCTCTCTGTCTCTGAGCTCTTTCCTTCTTGATAGGGATTCTTTAACACATTGTCCACTATATGGAATGACAAGCAGGTATGACTTGTTGTGTAAAAGAAGATTATCATTGGTTATACTAGTTTTGGTCACTAAAGCTTCTTCTTTGCGTTGTATAATAATATAGACATTTTACAGTACCTGTATGCTTGACGATTACAGTATGGAATTCATCACTGACTTCCGTGCAGAGCTCCTGTAGCAGCTTAGTTGTCTCAGGACTGTCGTTCAGATCAAGGTGGATTCGAGCTACAATTGAGTCCAACCACTCCTGCTGAATTGGAGCGAAAGGTCGATTCTCCACGCAGCGCTTCAAGAAACTGTAGTTCATCTGTACATGTTTGAAAACAAAGTGAGGCAGGCATAGGGGATAATTTTAGTTGACTCACTTGCATTTTTATCAAAAATATCAACTGACCATCCGTTTCTTCTCCTCACTGAGCATCTGTAAAGCAAGATTGAAATTGGTTTAATCATATTTTGGATTTACTTTGAACTGAATGTTGAGGTTGTGTTTGAAAAGTCAGCAATACATGCTCCGTACAGAAGGTGGAAGCTGTGGTTCTGGAGAGAGACAGCGTTCAAGTCTCTCGTCATTGCTTTTTCTGTAATCATCCATTGCTCTGGACACCCTGCCATAAAGCATACAACCAGAAGAGTCCACTTTAAGAAACCCTAAGGAATAACTTCCAAAACTTTAGGAACTATGGTCTGTGAACTGAAAATAATTAAATATCTGAGGGGAAAACATACAGTATCATCTGGATTTGCTTCTGTGGTTCTTTACTCCTTCGCCTCAGCGCCTTCCTCTGAGCCTTCAGTTGGTCGGCTATCTCCCCCATCGCTGCGACGGTTTGCTCAAAATCACCAAGTGGCCTCGTCCCTTCGATTGGAGGCAAGACTGGTAACTTTGACAGGGCATTGGAAGGTCCCGGAGAAGTTGCCATTTCTGGCAACCTGACGCAAAAACAACAGACGTTGTGTTAAATAACTCTAGACTTTCTTCACGTCTAGCAACAGTTAAACAAACAATTGTTGCCACAGTCCAACAGTTTCAGCTGGGTTTTACCCGTTAGTTCTCTTCGTTCACTCAGGATCTTCACGCTTTGGTTTACTAGTATACAACTTGCTCCATTTAGCCACTAATGGGCTCCTGGGTTAGAAATTGTCAGCGTTGTTTCCATAGTAACAGTAAACAAGGTAACGACAGGAAAAGGAGGAGCTTTTTTGTCTAGCACGAGAAAGTTGAAAAGAGATTAAGGTAACGTGATCATAGGTGGGAAACAGAAACGATATTGCGTGCAATAAATATGAATTGGCTGTAACATCAAACATAATGGCCAACAGATTCTAATAGGTCATATAAGAAATAACCATAGGCCATATAAGAACATTTGAAAGTGACCTTGTTGTCATGACATTACAATGTGGCACTTAAACTGATGACTGTATTTATAGGGACACCACGTTGCGAACACATACTCTATGCATGTAGCAAAATCAACTTTTTTTGTATTAGTATTTGTTTATGTGACCCTATTTGAGTGGCAGCACATTCCACAAATAAAATGTATCACTATGAAAAAAGTGATGATGAAGATTTGCTGTTTGCATTAAGATGTTACGGAAAAGTTAATATCGTTAAAGGTTTAAACCTTACAAGAATTACAAAACCCAATATTGATCATTATTCAATTATCAATATTAAAGGAGATCATCATTTGAAGAGTGTTCAGTGACTCGAGCACTACTTTTAGTTAGAGGCAAACTTGAAAAACGCATTTTACTTTCATTAAGTCGAAGTTTGAAATGACAAATGTGTATTTTTACATTATTCATTAAGCTTTTGACTGCCTATAGGGGGCAGCGGTTTGTATGCACCGTGTTGTAAGCAGTACCGGAAATAAACAAGAGTAAAACGAAGAAGAAGAAAGAGGCTCTCCCACTATTAGCTTGCTAGCTACCGTTGGAAAGTACCGACAAATATTCAGGTATTATCTACCTATAAGTTATTGTATTGCCATGACGTGCTAAGCAAAGATAAACCGAAGTTAAATAAGATACAATTTGACTCGTTTCGGCCGCTTCTCTCCGAAATAAATTAGCCGAATAGCGGAAGTCTCCTCTGTTTTGATTCGTGCTGATTAAAGTCAGGCTTTACTGTTGTGTTCTTATCTAAGGCCCATACAATAATTACTTAGTATTAACGGGTTCGTGAGTCACACATACCACAGAGCGAGCAGTATACTGTTCAAAACCTTCAATGTTAAAAGTGTTTTTTTCTATTCAGACGGTATTTTCAGTGTTTAAAAGGCCATTTTAACCCGTAACATACCCCCCTGTACTTCTCCAGGAGATTATCATGAGTTATGCGGAGAAACCGGAGGACGTAACGAGGGAGGAGTGGATGGATAAACTCAACAATGTCCACATTCAGAGAGCTGATATGAACAGGCTCATAATGAATTACCTGGTTACAGGTGAAGCCTTTGTTATTACTACTTGTTTTCATATATGTGCGTTACAATTGAATATGCAGATGTGTATGTATTTTGTTTTTACTGGTAATTGACCTGCGATTTATTGCATTGTTTGTTAAACAGAGGGTTTCAAAGAGGCAGCAGAGAAATTCAGGATGGAGTCCGGAATAGAGCCAAGTGTGGACTTAGACTCCTTAGATGAAAGGATTAAAATCAGAGAGATGATACTAAAAGGACAGATCCAGGATGCCATTGCTCTAATCAACAGTCTACACCCAGAACTCCTGGATACAAACCGTTACCTCTACTTCCACTTACAAGTAAAATAAAACATTACCTGTTTTGCATTATTCTCTATTAGAGAATGTCATGTTACTTCATTTATGTAGATTCACCATTTCACACTTGGCTTTTTATGTTCTGCAGCAGCAGCATCTAATAGAGCTGATTCGTTTGCGGGAGACTGAGGCTGCCCTCGAATTTGCCCAGTCCCAGTTAGCAGAGCAGGGAGAAGAGAGCCGTGAGTGTCTTACAGAGATGGAAAGGACACTGGCTCTGTTGGCATTTGACAACCCAGAGGAGTCTCCCTTTGGAGATCTGCTCAACATGATGCAGAGGCAAAAGGTAAAGTCCACGCAGAATAAGAATGTATATACATGTCTTTTTAACCACCTTATTGGTTCAGAACCCTTTTTGTGTAAAATGGTTACAAAAATCCTCTGTAGCTCCAAAGAGGGCTTGAGTTTGAGAAAATATGTTTTTGGAATTGTAAAAAGGATAAAATAAGCATTACAGGATTTTGTCTCTTTCAGGTGTGGAGTGAAGTTAATCAGTGTGTGCTCGACTACGAAAATAGAGAGTCAACTCCTAAGCTCGCCAAACTTCTGAAACTTCTGCTGTGGGCTCAAAATGAACTCGACCAAAAGAAAGTGAAGTATCCCAAAATGACTGACCTCAGCAAGGGAACCATCGAAGACCCCAAATAACGACTTAAAGTGAAAAATACCCCCACATTACAATATGGACACTTTTCCTTTATGTATTTATAACCCAACAAACCTGACTCATTTAGAGTACGACCTTTTCTTTTTGTAAGGGTTACTTTTTGATACTTTAATAACGCAGAATGTGCAGACAACTGGATTGACTGTGTTTGAAACTGACTCACAGTAAAATAACATGCAGACCATCATTTCACATGTTATTGAGATTTACACATTTCTTTATGTAAAGACAGCATGTTTCACTTAGATTAGTTTTTCTGTCTGTTGGCAGGGAAAGTTGTTGGCTTTGAAGGATGTGAATAAAGCCTAAATTAGGCTGACACTGGCTGTGACCACTTTGAAAAGGGAGGGTGTGATCAGGGAAAACCATTAGCTTGTGTGCACTTCTTCAAATAAACACCTCCCGTAAACGATGATTACACATCCCCTGTGGTTGTTTTTCAGCTGGTACTTTTATGTGACATTAGTTGTCAAATGAGGTAATTTGGGGTGTTTCAAGATGTTTGGACTTTAAATATGGATTTAGTCTTAGAGTAATGATGAGACATTTTCTGAAAGTGCTGATAGACCAGAGTACATTTTTATTCATACGAATTGTGACAGCAGCAATTAGTGGCATCCTTAGAATTTTAAAGCATATCTAGACTTTAAGCTTAAGGACAGATGTTTAAATATGTGAATGGGCAACTATGCCTACAGGTATGGAGACACTATTACAGATAGATTAATTACATTTGTAGCTATTTGTCAACATTTGATGTGCTTTTTTTTTGCCTGTATATTATTTTGCAATAAAAGGACATTTTTAACTTGAGCATATCACTTGGGAGTTGATGTCTTATATCAGGAAAGAATTATGTCACAGAAACAGCTCGTTGAAAGTGATGTACTTGGTTCTTTATTTTACATACAAAAAAAATGCAAACTACAGATAAGAACTTATTAAATAAGATATGTGAAAAGAATACATACCTTTATGAGCTTGTAATTCAAAAAGTAACATTTTTATTTACTTGACACTTGAAATCAAAATATGAAAGCAGTTGCAGAAAGTCAATGCAGTCCTAACTATTTGCTGATTGTCAATCAAATAAAATAATTTGACACAGTAAGGTCTTTTAGGGGAAAAAATGAATTGGGAGAGTGCAGTAAGTATTTTTTAATGCAATGTTACATTGTTGCATTCAAATCCAGCCTGTTATCTACAAGTGAATTCAACCATGAGTTTTAACCATCATCCTCACGTGGGTTTTCTTGTTTCCTGCAAATTCTCCCTTTCATAATAACATGAGTTCCAACCTTTAAATCGCATGGAACCCGCATCCTGTAGTCTATGCTATAAATTACCTTGGGATTTGTTAGTTTAAGAAGAAAAATGACACAGACAAGAGAAGTTGGGTTAGGGATAAAGTCAAGCATTATGTGTTTGCACATAGAAGGCGGCAGTGTTCACAGATAAGGTAACAGTCCACTTTTTGACTGCCTTTCCCTTAAAGGCTTTTTTAGAAACTTTTGCACACAATAAATAATTCCAAACATCTTTCTGTCCCATGAAAATGACCATACCTAAATGTTTAGTCATCCTACTGGTTAGTGTGCGCGCTGATGAATATGCTGAAAGCAAAAGTAGAGAACAGAACTGGGCTCAGCATCAGTCAGAAAAGCAGTGGCAAGCTTTGTAATATCTAATTAGTGCAATGTAATGTGGAGTTGTTTTATGTTTACAATTGTTAATATTTGTGCTGAATATTGTATTTGAGAAAAACCCCTGACAAGCACTCTGAGTCAGACAGAGTCTGACTCAAAGTGCTGAGATTTTAAATGTTTGTACAAGGACAGAAACATATTCAACAATAAAAGCATTCCTAAAGCGATAATGTCCCCCTAAATTTTACTTTATATTTTTAAAACAGTCATATTCATTCTATATTATAAGTACAGTTATAAGCTACTTGTACTTTTTTCCTTGTTTACAGTTTAAAATTAAGATTTGAAAGACTAAATGTCATTTTGCAACTTTTACTTGTTTTCCCATCTGGAGTT